TCGTTTGAGCCCTGCTTAGCTTAGCTCGCAGCTGGCTCCCGAAGGACGCCTGCCGCAGCTCGGTTCCGGCGCCATCTGACTGGCATCAATGACGCGCGAACTTACGGCTCGCTTTTGGATTTGCCGCGATGGGAACACAGCTTGTAATATGACATTAGCCATCGGGTTTTGCACGGAAAGAAACGAGGGAAAGGTCGCGTTTGATTCACCTTCATCTCCTTCCATATATGGACTCACCATCACTGTGCGATCCACTAATAAGTCATGTCAACAGTGGGTAAGCCTAGTTATGATAGTAACATAGACATAGGCATAATGCATCGTTCCCTACGTGTGGATACATATGCGTGTATGCATTTTTGTGTGAGTGGCATGAGTGCGTGTAGGGGAGTGTTTGAAGGTGTATATGCGTGATGTGTGGGAAAACTTGCACGCATGCCTGTGTCCGTATGTGCCGGTGTTGCCTGTTTGCATGCGTGGGTTACACACACGGGTGAGACGCATTTGCAGCTACATGCAACTTCATCATGGTAAGCACGGTAAAGACCGCGTTCAAGTTGGCAGCAGCACCTTTGTCAGCACCAATCATGGTCCAGTGTTCTCCCTACGTCACGTCACGTCACGTCACTACAAAGTGGCGTAGTTTGTGGGTATGCTCGATGGCTGACGCTGCTGCCATGCTGTTTTGTCAGCGGGCTAACGTGGAGGTATAACGCTACCTGAATGTATGTATGACTCTGACAAAGAGACACAAGCTTGATGTGGCAGCTCTTGTGGTTGCGAATACGTTGGGCGGGGTAAGGGCACTGGTCTCCGATTTTGGGAGAAGGTGACGAAGAATGGATAAGACGGGAATTGGACTGCCAAGAGTGATCATGAAAAGGTGAGTAGCAGTGACTGGCGAGGTGTATGGTCGAGTTCCCCAGCAAATTGATAGCGTTAAAGTAATCGTAAAAGATGGAAAACAGAACCAAAATGCCCTGCGTCTCGAACGCAGGCTTTGTCAGTACAAGTAGTAATGTGGTGAAATGTTGGGATTCATGCCAGTACAGTAAACAATGAAGGACCTTTTCCACGAAGAAGGTTGAGTGAACACTTGAGATAAGAAAGGAAGAAATTTGAGTTAGGTGGGATTGCAAAGGAACACTTAACTTACGGGAGGGATAGACAATTTTGTAGGCAGTTTGTCATGGTCGGCGGTAAACAAGAGGCAGTGAGAGGTCAGTAGAGGTTAAAAAGTAGAGGAAAGAAGCAAAGTAAAATTTAAAAGTTGTCCGTCAGCCGTCACATTGAACGCTCCATCAACACACATGACGTCACGCATTCCAGCTGACAATCGTGCTGACGGCAGATCGAACAAGGCCAAAGTAAAGCAGGGCAAACTATTTATTTCTAGGAGACTGTGCTGCAGTGTACTGAATATGATAACAAGGGATGAGCCATCCAGAAGGTTCTGTGTGTAACGATGATTGTAAACCCGGTACTTATCAAACGAAATGTCGTCTGTGGCAGCATTAGTTGACATCCGATTTAAGACTTCATGTTGCCATAAACAGTTAGAAAAACATATCTTCAGCAGAAAGTGGTGACTAAACGGGCATTTTCCTGACAGTGTATTTTTCATGCGGTTTCAAACGACAGAGCGCAGAAAAACACATGTTAACAACGCGGTCTGTGACAGTACAAAATGTCATGTCATGCTGCGGCTGTTGCAATTTTTATGAAAACCGAAGTTATTGATTTAACAAAGTGATAATTATCGGTAATAATCCATGGCTCAGCACACCTCACCCTTAAAAATAAGCATCGCTGCTACGATCAGCCGCTTTGACCGGCAGCTCGTCTACTGAAATGAGACTGACGGGAGCTACGGCGTCAGCTACGGCTGGTTCAGCCCACGCCGATGTCAAGCACTTCGGCGTCACGACGCGCCGCTCCGTCGCCACGCCTCCGCCGTTCTCATAAACTGAGCATTCTCCACCGACCGCTGGATGTCGCCCGAATCGCGGCTGCCGCGCTCCATCGGCGGCAGTGGGCGGGGAGAGCGGAGCGCTGGCGGCCGTGACTGACGGACCCGCAGCCGGCCGCAGTTCGCCGCCGGTGCCGCTCGAGAACGATCAGGTGCAGCCCGCACGCGACGGCGCCCGTCCCAAGGTGACTCCACAAACGCTCCGCCTTCGCAAGGTGAGGACGAAGGCCGGGCCCCTGGGAGCTAGTGGGCGATGCGCGCTGAGTGTGGCACTGTGCGTTGACGTGCGAGCGCGGGTCCTGACGCTTAAGTGTTGTGACATCGTCCATACTTACTTGTCATGTTCCATTTCTCTCCACATTTGCATTTTCGTGTAAAAATGATGTCAACAGTTATGCCAATTCACGGTGTTTTGGTCAGAGGGACACCTGGACCGGTCATGCATTCGAACGGGACACAGACCTTTCGGAACACGGAAAATCTGCAAATCAGTACCCCCACCTGTCCAATGAGCTGCCACATCTTTTCCCAGCGACCCGTAACCACCGAAAACACCTCGGTCTCGGTTCGAAACGGGCGATGTCGTGACCGCTTTTCCGGTCCGTTCGACCGCGGCCAGGGAGGGCGGGAGGGGCAGGGGGGGGGGGAAGGGGCGGCCGCGGCTTCCTGCGCCGATCTGGCTTGGTCTTCGTTCGAGCCCGGTGGACAGAGCGGTAAGAGAGGTCCACGGGATGGAGCATTGAGAGAGATCCACGGGATGGGGCAGCAAGAGAGGTCCGCGGGACGGAGCATTGAGAGAGACCCGCAGGACGGAGCAGCGAGAGAGGTCTGCGGAACGGAGCAGCTAGAGAGGTCCGCAGAACGGAGCAGCGAAAGAGGTCCACAGGACGGAGCAGCGAGAGAGGTGTGCGGAACGGAGCATCGAGAGAGGCCCGCAGGACGAAGCAGCAAGAGAGGTCTGCGGGACGGAGCTGCAAGAGAGGTCTGCGAGACGGAGCATTGAGGTCCGCGGGACGGAGCAGCGAGGGAGGTTTGCGGGACAGAGCAGCGAGAGAGGTCTGCGGGACAGAGCAGCGAGAGAGGTCCGCGGGACGGAGCAGCGAGGGAGGTCTGCGGGACAGAGCAGCGAGAGAGGTCTGCGGGACAGAGCAGCGAGAGAGGTCCGCGGGACGGAGCAGCGAGAGAGGTCTGCGGGACGGAACAGCGAGGGAGGTCTGCGGGACAGAGCAGCGAGAGAGGTCTGCGGGACTGAGCAGCGAGAGAGGTCTGCGGGACGGATCAGCGAGGGAGGTCTGCGGGACGGAACAGCGAGGGAGGTCTGCGGGACGAAACAGCGAGGGAGGTCTGCGGGACGAAACAAACAGCGAGGGAGGTCTGCGGGACGGAACAGCGAGGGATGTCTGCGGGGCGGAACAGCGAGAGAGGTCTGCGGGACGGAGCGGCGAGGGAGGTCCGTGGCCGCCGGCTGCGCCCGCCGACGCAACCGTGAGAACGTGAGATCGTGGGTGCGGCTTTTTCGCAAGCCGTCTCGTTATGACAATAGGCTTGGCCACGTTCTCGTCGTATTTACGACGGCCGGTCCTGAGGCGACACATCGAACAGGCGGAATGTGTCCGGGGTGAAGAAACCTGAGCAGCGGCCACGGTGAAACGACGGTGCCGGCGGCGCCACCGTCGATCCCGCATCTGCCATAGTGTTGGTCAGCTATCGCCTCCCTCTCCGTTTCGCGAATGACACGAAAACGGGCAAAAACGGGGGACGGCGAGGAGCGGCGGCACCGATCGGCCGGTCCGAGGCGTAACGAAGGCGGCGGCAAAAACGCAGTGGCGCTGGCCGGCGGCGGGGCACTCGCCACACTCCAAATGGGTTCTCCAACCTTCTGGCGATTACCATATTAACCGGGGCTGGGGTCATAAACACTATGCCCGGACCGCCGGTGCGGGCTTTGTTCGAAGCGGCCGGGCGCCGCCGCAGCCCGGGCCGCGTCTGTCTGGTCTGAGTGATCTGGGTGCCGATTTCAGAACCGACGTACTGTACAGTTCAGATGGAGCGCACGGCTGCAGGTTGGATGCTTAGTCAGATGATACTGAAGTCCAGACAGTTTTGGTTCTCCGGCACTGGACTGAAGTTCGGAATGAACCCGGATGGCTTAATTACGACGAACAATTTCATGCTTTTCTGTTCGAGCCTTGTCATAAGAGCCGTCGAATTTTCCAAAGCTTGAGGAAAGGATTGTGTGTGCTGAATGAATTAATTTGCGGAGACATTGTTGCACGTACAGCCATCATTGAGGTATTCCTTGCGACTCTGGGAAGGCGTGCCGCTGAAAATTCCACTGAAGCTTGGTCGGAGTCCCGTAAGCAGATGATAACTCGCTTGAGTGTGTGCTGGCGGGAAAATTTAAGGGTGAAGGAGACGCATTTATTAGCAAAATGAAATTCAAATATGTGTACGCATGCCTAGAGTCTAACCATGATAACAGGGACGTGCTTACATCGGTATTATTGGGTGCGAGGGGCCTCTGCTGCATTAACATCATCTGTCCGTGAACATCGGGATTGCCTTAATGCAAATCTCGGATCAGGGTTTCTGACGAAAGATTATGTCCCTTGCCCCCATACCACGTAAGCCTGCGAGTGCTTCTCGGTTGTGTAGGACCTGGTCGACATGTTTCTGGTCGTTGGCCAACAGTTACTATCGTCACGTAAAGGATAAGCCGTCTGCTAGTCAAGTATCGTATGGAGCATATTTATAATCGCGTTAGCAGAGTTGGTACAAAGTCCGAAGAAATTTGGTTTGTTTTATATTTTGGATAAGGTTTCAGAGAGTTTGTCGCAATTTTAAAGTCTGGTTCGTTCTCAGCATAATGACAAGTAAACGCGCTTGGGATAACGTAAGCACCCGGGCGACACGCTGGACGCCCGCTAACAGGGGACGGCCGATAGGCAGCGACTCGCTCCGACGCCCGCGTGTGACGAACCGCTCTTTCGCCGACAGGTGGGGTGCACCAGGCGAGTGCGTTTCGTGCTGCATCCGCAGGAGAGCTGCCCATGTGCATTGGGTTGGCGCCTGACCGGGGCAGCCGCGTCACGTTTGTAGTGGCACCCACGTTGCCCATCACGGCCGCCAGCAGACATGAAGTGCTTCGGCACCAAGAACAGCACGTACCACTGCAAGATCATCCTGCTGGATGAACAGGAGCTGATTCAGGAGATACAGGTAGGTGGAATTCGCGATCAGTTCAGTGTTGATCAACGAGGCATCAGCCCGTTTCAAAGACTGAGTAAATGGGCACAAAATAACCATCGTAGTCGGCGTGCCTTCATCACAAAATCTCAGTACCGATATTTTCGGAATGGTATTAACGTACCAGTAAGAGGTTTGCACAAGTCTGTGGTTACCTGTGGCACGTTGTGTCATGAAAATGACTGAAGGATTGCAAAAAGCGCGTCGAATTGCCACGTGCGTATGGTCTCGCGTTTTGCCGATGCCGCCGGCATTGCAAACTGGCTCGGTCCGCGCTTGACCAATATTGCGTAGTAGGCGTCAGCTGACGCGCGAAGCTGGCGCGCCTACACTTGCAGCCAACGTCATGACGCAGATAAACATCTTGCCCCAGCAGGCCCCATTCAGACCCCTTACTTGCAGGATTGAGTACTTAGTGACCGTTTTTGTGGCAGCGACACGATAATGGTCCGCGACAGGTTTGCAATTTTTCCGGGTGCGATTGACTTTCATACTTCAGTGGACTTTTCTGACTGCATGATCAAATTACCACCATTAAGTGTGACATGCCCTTGTCTGAATGGTAGTTGGCTGGGCTGCAAACAGGGCTATCATATTATCATGGCAAGTCGCACAGTTTCATGAGAGATCTTGGATCACACAGTGAGCCTGATGACCCCAGGGTGATGCCGCTAGCGTGGTTAAGACCGGTGACGAATTGCGTGACAGAGCGTTTCTACTTTGGGCCTGCGTGTGACTTGTGCATTTGACATCCTCGTGCGTATCGCCAAAGTGACAACTTACCCACACTAGTGCCCGCGTGTTATAAATGTATACAATACTGTACACTGTGTGTCATAAAGGTATGCAATATCACGCTTAAATAATAATTTAAATAAAATTTTGGTAATCAAATAATAGTAAGATAATAATTAAATAAAGAGTATGTACCGGCCTTTCATTACCGGCTCAGTGCGGGCTCCAAGACGCGATTCATTTTCATATCAGATTTGCTAATGTAGGCGCATATTTTGTATGTAATGAGCCTGTATAAATACTTTGTTAAATAGCATTCCAGAAACAAAAATAAATGACCTTAGAAAATTGGTTTCAGTCACAATAAAAATCCGAGCACACGGAACATCGCCACGGCTACCGTTTTCTTCGGAAGCAACATTATTGAGTGGACCGATATCTTACCAGAACATAACGCCACCCATGCTGTTAAATACCTCCCATTCGATAAATGGGAGGCAACAAATGTTACAAAGTGATCAAGGCAAAAAGCTGTCCGACCAAGAGGAAAGACATTAACTGAATAATGACAATGTACTGCGGTGTTTAATACATTTGGCTCAAAAACAATTTTCGGGAGTCCAACCCCTTTGAAGGCGTTTGAAGGAACACCCGACTTTGAAGCAGCGCCGGCAACCAACTGCACAAGCACTGAAACTTGGGCCGCCTTGGCTCCCCCACCCACCCATTGCCCACCGACTGCAGTACCGCAGACAGGGCGGAGTCATGCTCACTCAGCGTGCGGCCCAGCTGACTTTGGTAGGAATCCGTCGATTGGTTCCACCAGCCGTCAGGGACGCGGCAGCAGCTCTGTCATTGCGACACTAATGTGACGATAACAGGATGGCTTCCAAAAGAAACGAGATCTGTCGATTAAAAGTCCGGGGGCTTCAAGGGACACGGCGCGATCAGGCCAGGTGTCTGGCAGCGCTGGAGATCTGGAGACTTCAACATGGCAAGACCACGGCCGGAGACCGCAGCACGGACCACTGGCTAACACCAGCCAGTGCCTGACCGAGACCAGCTGTTGCACAGCTCACACGCCTACACGCTGCGCCCACATCTGCCGCTCGATGGCGGAGACCTGCGTGGCGGCGGCGCCCGGACGGCGCAGCGGCGGCTGGCGTAGCCGCCGGCGGGTTCGGCTGCTCAAGTGCCGTCATCTCTGGCGGAGGGGCCGCGCTGCTGACCCGTCCGCGGCCCGCAATCTGGGCTCGAGCTAATCGCCGCCGGCCCGCAGGCCCGGCGCCTGATCGCCGTATTTTTCCGGGTGCCGAGCGCGGCGGCGGCTGTCGGCGGCCATTACCAGACAGGCGGCGTGGCCCACCGAGCCGCGCCCGCTTCGCGTTTTATTGGCCTTTGTGTTGGGGCGGCGCCGCTGCCATCAATCGGGCAGCTTTAGGGCCTCGCCGTCAACCGTATATCTGGCACGCACGCGGCCGGCCCGGAATGTGTCCCGGCCGGGGCCGCCCGCCGCCCGCGGAGAGCTGAGCCCCGTCCCGGCGGGCGGCGGCGCTGCGCGGGCAGGGGCCGCCCCCCGCCGCGTCGCCGCCCATTTGGAGCGCGAGCTGTCGCCGGCCCGGTACCGCCCGGCGGAGCCGGCCACCGCGTGGGGAGGCTTCGGGACGCCGCACAGGCTTTGATTGGGTCGGCCCGGTGCCGGAATCACCCCTTCGTGTGCAGGATGAACAGGCTGCCGTCTGCAAAAGCATTTTAATCTTGGTTATGGCGGCGCTTGCATGCAGGCGCCGCCGCTAGACCGGCCGCCTCATGAACCGGGGCGGCTGTGTAATTTGTCTCCCCTTCGTGACTGATGGCGTTTGGCCGGACCAGCCGGCCGGCGGGCACAGCCAACTCTGAAAGACCGGTGTTGAGCACGCCCGTTGCATCAGAGTCCGCTTCACTCCCCTGCAAACATTATTGGGCAGGGGTGAACTTCTGGCTGCTGCTGACATGACGGCAGTTTGATATTGAGCGCGACCAAAAGTATCCCTGCATAGTGCATAGCACTCACGACTGCTGGTGCTGATAGCATTGTCTTTCGAAACTGCACCAGCGGTTTGTGCTTTTACCGATTCCATCAATCGTTACCAGGGACGAACGACCAAACTGGCGTTCTGTGCCAACACCGAGCCTTTGTTACGCTGCAGCTCCCAACCTTCGGCGACGCGGCAACCAGAGCCGCGTTCCGACAAGCTCACGTTTCCGCCGCCAGGCGAGTGCCGCATGACTCAAGGTTCTTTCGTCGGGCCAGGGACACGTCGCGCATGTTCGCACCCGCGCCTGTTTTATCCGCCTGCCAGAGGCCTCGGCAGCCAGCCGGGCCGCATCGAGCCGGCGCCGCGCCGCCCGCCGATCTCGGGTTTCGGAGCAGGACGGCTCATTCCGACGGCACGGGTGCGGAATGCCGGCCACACCGCGCCCCGAGCGAGACGGCGGGCCCTGGCAGCGCGCGCGCGCGCCGTCGCTCTGCGCGCGGCCGTTCGCCCGGCGTGGTGCCGCCGGTGCGGGCCCGCCGGCGGTCATCTATAAACATGTGAGCCGGCCGCCCCGGGCGCGCCGGCCCTGTTATTCTCCGCATAATCTGCGGCAATTTATCACGGGCCCTGCAGAGAGGATTCCAGGGACGCGTGTGGAGAGTTAACCCTCGGAGGTGGAGCCGGACCGAGGTCCGATCGACGGCTCGGGGAGCAGTTTCACTGGAGGCTGACTCCAGTATGCTGACTTTCTCTCGGACTGAACGCATGGGACGAACGTAAACGCTGATCGGGCAGGATAGAGGAGTTGGGCAACGGCCTTCCACGGCTTACGAAGGCACGCCGCCGGCAATAAAGTCTGTCTGAATCTACGCATTCCATCGATTCCTGTCGAGGCTTCTGTACATGCTTGTTCTCCGGCAACCATGATGTGTGTTCTCAATATTCTACTGCTGGTAACGAGCTTGAATAGTTCACATTTATCAAACATGAATCACGGCCGTTCCGGCTCTACGCACGAACGCTTCCGATTGGCCAAGACACAGCTCTCGTCTGAGCGGAATGATTTCCTACCGTCTTTATTGCGCTCCCAAACGTTCCAGCGCAGACGCACAAACAACTCGGAGGCAAACAAATTAGACACACAGAGCTGGGCCGACTGCCTGATTTAATTAGGTGGCCTTGTAGTCGAATGGCTGCGGAGCGCGCACGAGCCTGGCGCAGGGCTATACAGCGCTCTAAAAACCAACCGCCGCGCACAGCCGGCCGGAGCCAGGCGCTGACTTTGAGCTGCTGCGCTTCCTTCATCATCGGCGGTGTGAAAAACAACGCGACGCTGCCCTCGCCTGTCGACAACGTGGCATTAGGCTGGGAAGACGCCGGCCGTCCGGGACAAAGAAGCCTCGGCCGAATTACACGCGAACTAGGTGTGACCTGCCAATCCAAATTACACGCGAACTGGGTGTGACTTGGCCGGCCGAATTACAGGCCACCTCTGCCGGGAGGTCAAGAGTGGCCCGGCTGCGGCCTCCGACACGCTGGCTGGGCGCAGATGTGGACGGCGGGGGCCACGACGAGCGCCGGCTGGCGCGCTGGCTCGACTGCTCGACACGCAGCCGAGCCGCGGGTCGGGCCGAGACGCTAACGGTGCCGCCGCGGGAGGGATGACCTCTCGCGGCCGGCTGGCCCCGACACCGAGGCTGCATCTCTAGGCGACGACGGCCCGACTCAGGCTCAGGCTCAGGCGCGCCGCAGGCTTTTCATTTGTCCTCTGCGCGATCCAGCATGGCGGCAATCTTTTGCATCAATCTCTGTTCGGGCGCTTCGGTCTCAGGATCTTCAGCGCAGCCTCGCCAGCGGCACCTTGCGTGGTGTCTGTGGCCCTGTCTCGACGGCCGAAGACGGCCGTGGTGGCGGTGCTGGCTGGCTGCGGCACTCGACCGTGACCCCTCGGCTCGGCTGGTGGTGGGCGCGCGCCGAGCCCCGACAGCCGCTCTCAGCCCATCATGAATGCGCCGACTGGGCAGGCCGCGGCTCCGCCGGCTCCGGGACGGCGCGGCGGGCGGGCGTGTCTGGGTCGCGAGCCCCGGGGGGCAACACACCCCGGCTCTCGACGGGTGGCGAGCGCTCCGCTGGCGGGGCGCACCTGTTTCAACAGCTGGCCTCCTTTCCGGATGAAGTCAGGCCACCGAAGAGCACGGATCCATTGATATTGATGGGATTTCTGAGAATCGCAGCGTGGTGCTGACGGAGCAATACGATCGCGGGCTAAAGATGTTTATTATTTTCCTCTATTCGTCTTGTGGACGGACGGACGGTAAAAGATTGGTGAAAGCTATCGGCATCAAACGATAAACAGATCTATATACTTTGGACAGCCGCGCTATTACCGGGTCTTGGCCTTGAATGAATGACAAGGCCAGCATTGAAGGTCGATCTTAAATTCGAGTGCCTATTTTACCTCCCGCCGTCATCGAACCGAGCCCTCAATACACGGACACTTTATTTTCGAGCAACGTACGAAGTCGACCACCTTTGTCGTCGCCATAACGCAGCGTGCTCTGTCACCGGACCATCGCTGTCTTAGGCCGTCCGTGGGCGGTATTTGTTTGACTGTAGGGGCCGGATGACCCTGAATTCCGACCAGGTAGATGCTAATCTCCCCACCCCCCACCCTCCCCTACCCATTCGACATGAATCTCCCTGGGCGCCTACCCCTCGCCGTTCGCCGGGCAGATACATACCTGGCGATACCCGCCTGCTCCGACTAATTCCCGCGAACCTCCGCGTGGTGCGTCCCACCGCCCTGACACCGACCTGGCAGCGAGGGCCGCGCCGCCGGGCCGGTCTGCTGCCCGCACGTGCGTCGCGCGGCACCGTGCGACACAACCGGCGCCGGGTGCGTCGCCGGCCCGCACCGGTATTGGCCGCGACAGATCCGTTCATCACGCCGCTCGGCCAGCTGGTGGCCAGCCGGGCGAGCGGGCGGCCGGGCCTGCCATCGGCTGGCGTCGATCGCCGCAGGGATTGTCATAGCCGGCCGGCGCCGCCCGCCCTGCGATGGAGTCATTCATGTCTCCAGATGGAGCCGATTGGGCGCCGTCTGAATGGGCCGCCGCCCGCGGACGGATGCCATCGGAGCACTGACGAGTCGCGCTGGCGGCCGGGCGCCGCACGACAGAGCGTCACGGCTTGAATCAGACTCACCACACGCAGGCCTCGCGACGTCTGAAGACCGCACAATTGCCGTGTCAATGGAAAAATGCCCTCACTGAGGATTCGTCTCTCAGGCCGCTGAATACGGGTTGGTTACTTGACTAACTGAGCGACTGACCGGATCGATTCAGTCGTGCAGTGCTGATGAGTGCCGTGCCGTGTTGACGACTGGTCTGGCCATGGCCCGGCGGCTACCAGCTGTGGCTTGGGAGGCACAGCTTCCGTCGTCACTATGCCAGTCGTGGGACCACGTCGTCGTCGGTCACCTGACCATTCTCTGTCTCTCGTAGGATACCACGCTGGGCCAAGAGTTGCTGGACAACGTGTTTCGCCACCTGAACCTGCTGGAAACTGCCTACTTCGGCCTTCGCTTTCTGCACTCGTCAAACCAGCCGGTGAGTGGACAGACATCACCGTCGAAGCAGGCGACGTTCGCTGACGGTGGGTTGCACGATGCACACACCCTAGGTGTGGAATGCGGCCGTTGATGGCCGTATGCAAGGGATAAGCGGTTGGTGGGAAGTGCACGGATCGGATGGCTTCGGCGCGGCAGGCGGCTCGTTCGTCAGCGCGTGACGCTGACAGCTCTGTGGTCAGAACAGTGGTGAGTTAGTTGTCAACACGTGGCAGTGATGTCTCGGTCGCCAGCCGGTCAGCAGGGATACCGCTTGGTCGACCAGAGACCCTGCTCGGTAAGCCAGGGCATCGCTTGGTCCGCTGGGACACCACTCGGTCAGCCAGGGACACCGCCAGGCCAGCCAGTGACACCACCCGGCCAGTCAGCAACGCCACTCGGTCAGTCAGGGACATTGCTCGGCTAGCCAGTGACACCACCCGGCCAGTCAGGGACCCTGCTCGGTCAGCCAGGGAATCACCCGGCCAGTCAGGGCGCCACCCGGCCAGTCAGGGACACCACCTGGCCAGTCAGGGACATTGCTCGGCCAGCCAGGGAATCGCCCGGCCAGTCAGGGACGCCACCCGGTCGGTCAGGCACATCGCTCGGTCTCACCTGAAGCAGGTACGGATGTCACCCTACCTGCCATGGAGCGGTGCACCGCAGCTGCGGTCAGGCGGGGTGGGGCATTGCGGGGCCAGCGAGCGATACCGCTGCCGAGAAAGCCGCGTGGAGCTGCTGAGCTGCGGTGAGTGGAGACCGTCTGGAGCCTCTGAACTGCGGTGAGTGGGGACCGCTTGAAGCTGCTGAGCCGCGGTGAGTGGAGACCGTCTGAAGCTGCCGAGTTGCGGTGATTGGGGACCGTCTGAAGCTGCTGAGCTGCGATGATTGGGGACCGTCTGAAACTGTTGAACTGCGGTGAGTGGGGACCGCTTGAAGCTGCTGAGCTGCAATGAGTAGGAACTGTCTGAAGCTGCTGAGTCGTGGTGATTGGGGACCGTCTGAAGCTGCTGAGCTGCGATGATTGGGGACCGTCCGGAGCCGCTGAACTGCGGTGAATGGAGACCGTCTGAAGCTGCTGAGTTGCGGTGAGTGGAGACCGTTCGAAGCTGCTGAGCTGCGGTAGGTAGGGACTGTCTGAAGCTGCTGAGCTGCGGTGAGCATGGACCGTCTGAAGCTGCGTAACTGCGGCGAGTGGGACCGTCTAAAGTTGCGGAGCTGCGGTGATTGGGGACCGTCTGAAATGGCTGAACTGCACTGAGCGGGGACCGTCTGAAGCTGCTGAACTGCGCTGCCGAATGTCGTGTGAAATATCTGAAAAGGAGAGCGAGAGAGCAGCAGGGGAGAGAGAGGGACGTGTCAGAAGGGGAAATGGATGACGTTGGTCCGTGGTCCGCTGGCCGGCCCTGACCCGGGACGCACCCTGGACAGTTCTGTCCCCGACCCGGCCGGGCCCGTCCGGCGCCGCATCCGGCAGCAGACCACGCCGTCTTCCGGCGACGGTGAGATTTTATCGCGGCCTTTTCTCACGCCCCCTGGGAGCCGTTGCCGAGGTCCGGCGGTGGCTAATGACGGCGGCACACGGCACCACGCTCCGGGCGGCCGCGGTCGCGCCAAAGAGCCCCACTCAGCCGTGATGTACGAGCCGTGGCCGAAGGCGGGGCCTGTCCTCTGTAGTCGGTGGAACGGCGACCGGGTCATTTCGCTGATGGCGGTTGTCGGCTCTTGATGACAGTAGACCACTATTTCGACAATGTATGGTCGTTTGTGCTCAGGAGCAGCTAGCCACCTATGTTGTTTTATGACGTAAGGTGAGTACACAGGTAGCCATGCACAATGCGTTTGTTTTCGTGCAGCACACCGAGCCGCCATGACATCTGAATTATGCAATCGTTCCGCGGCCACGGCGACACCGGTCGATTTGAATGGCGTTGTAAATGAATGATGTGTATTCTGTTGCATTGCGGAAACCTTAACCCTTTTGCAAACATTTGCATGCCAACATTTTTTTCTTCACGAAATACTTCTTTGCAGGACGGCCTATTTCTGTTCTAATGCCGAGGAAAGGAATCCTATCCTGAAAAAAATAGCGTGAATCGGGCAGCTTGTGCCAACAATTCTTCGTAGTGGGATGCGCACTGTATTGAATGCAGTCTGGTCACGAGGGTACGAGTGAATTGTGTTCTTGTAGATATCAGCTCAGCATGTCATCCTGGGAAAAATATATCTGCGCTCACGGAGCAACGGTCGGGCTACGCCCCACCCTACTCCTCTCTCGCCTCGCCCCGTCACAGGCTGACATATCGGCACGCCAGGTCACGGCGTCCGGCTGACACGGCGTCTCTGATTACGTTACCCGGAGCACGGCCAGCAGCGTGTCGCGTCGGAGCGCGCGGACTCGGCGCCATGCGGACGGGGCGGCGCTCTCATGTCGGAGCGCGCGGACTCAACGCCTTGCGGACGGGGCGGCGGTCATGTTCAGCCGGGTGCGAGAGCGGCTGGACAACAACACCTCTGCTGGCACAACGGCTCCCGGACTCTCCGACTGCGCTTAACCGAACCAGCGCAGGATGGTCGCTGCTGATAGGGGGGAGGCCGCTGACATCAAGAGAAGTGTATAGAAATGTCGCGGCATGAAAGCCATTTTAACACTTGTCAAACATTTGCAAACGGCTTTGGAGCTTGCCAGCAACTGGGCATGGAATGCAACGGAAACATAGCCTTCCGTTACAGCGTGCCTCTTTCAGAAGCCAGCCCATCACCTGTTTATCACTACCGTGGAATCTCGCCGGCTCACGTTTTGGTCTCGTTTAAAGCATTCTTATAGAAGTATTTCCACCGTTCCGTTTCCCTGACTCCGCTGCAATGGTGCGCCGCGAGACCGGAACAATGCCTCTCCTCCAGCCTCTATTGTTGGAGGCGTGACTTGGTCATTTCTATCTCTCCCCGGTGATGAGACGTAGCCGGTTCAGTGTCTTCTCTGGTGGTGCGACGCGGCCACTTCCATCGCTCCTCCTGTGGCGTCACGGGCCGCTCCAGACCACCACCAGAGGCGTGACGGTCTGTCGCATCCTCTCCTCTGGTGTCACGGCGCCGCGCTATAGACCGCCCTTATTGTGGCGAGCCGTTCCAGCCCCTCCCCCTCCCTCCGGGGTTATGGTCCGATCTCTCCAGCTTCCTCACTGGTGTTGTGCTGTGGCGGGCCGCTCCAGCCTTCACTCGAGAGGCCGAGGGCCGTCCTCCCCTCCCCCTCCCCTCCGGGGTTATGGCCCGTTCTCTCCAGCTTTCTCACTGGTGTTGTCCTGTTGCGGGCCGCTCCAGCCTCCGCTCGAGGGGCGGAAGGCCGGCCTCCCCCCCCCCCCCCCCCTCCCTCCGGGGTTATAGCCCGATCTCTCCAGCCTCCTCACTGGTGTTGTGCTGTGGCGGGCCGCTCCAGCTTCCACTCGAGAGGCGGAACGCCGGCCTCCCCTCACCCCCCCCCCCCCCCCCAGCGGCCACTCCAGCGGCCAGTCACGCGGCGCTGACACCCAATCTGCGCCGTGTCCCGCGCGGAACGGTGGCACCGTCACCTGAGGACCACCCAGCGCCCGGCGTCCAGTCCCAGAGTGCGGTTGGTCGCCTCCCCCTCCCCCTCCCCCTCTGCCCCCGCCGCACAAAAACCCGGCGGCCATAATTTTCACCGATCTCCGCGGCGGCATAAAAACGCAGCTCGGCACCAATTAAATGGGGTAAGCTAGATAATAGGGGAGCAATTTGGCCGGCTCCCATCCCGGGGCACGGTTATCTCCTGATTGCGTCTTTGACGTACGCTTCGATTGAGGCTCACGACCCTCTATAGAGGGCTTCTAATGGCCGCTAAGCAATAACATGAGACGGGGTGCCGGTCGGCCGTTCACCTGGGGTGGGCGCTGGCGGTCAGCCCCGGAGCGTGGGCCAGGTGACCTCTGATCGGCTTGTCAAGCGGCCGCTATCACATGCGGACACTGTTGGGAGTCAGCCGCGCTTTCCGGTGCACATGTCTGGGCTAGCGGGATATTTGTATTCGACCAATGATATCGTAATTAATGCAATGCAAGCTGAGTACTTAGTGTTTTATCAAGACTTCAGTGGTTTCTTTCGTGTCCACAACTCAGCGAGACCTCCGCCTGATGAGGCTCGGGTGGTAACATTCTCCCGCTCTGAAGATATGCGTTAATAGTGAGAAGACCGGCTCTGAAGGCAGCAATTGGATATCTTTGACAATATTTGGAATTGATTCACACTATGAGCTTGAACAAAATAACATCAGGGAGGTAAGGTTTCCTCGATACGCGAGAAAAACAACGCGTATTTGTGTAGATATAACCAGGACGAATAAATGGGGGGGGGGGGGGATAAGCTGGCCAAATGGTTTCTGCCCGTGCCAAACATTTTGCAGCACATGCACAGGGTAAGTTATGACAGCGGACGGATTGGTTGTGACAACTCTTCAAAACCTAAAAAGTGAAGAGCACGTAATTTTTGTCTCCACAGCAAATGGTGAGAGTAGGTTCTCACTAGATAGGTGTGCAATAACCTATTTATTTTATTCCAAGCCATTAACAAAGTTCAAAAGAGGCGCAGGGGCAGCGTCGGTCGCCTCTCGGTCAAGCACGGCTCCAAATCACCCTTCAGACTAAGACCAATGCAAATGCGCAGGAACAGTTTCTGTCGCCTCTCGGTCAAGCACGGCTCCAAATAACCGTTTAGACTAAGGACCAATGCAGATGCCGCCGGACAAACTAATAACATTTGTGGTCCTAGGAGGAAGATCTCTCAATCGATAGCTTAATTTTATCATGTTTAATGCTGTTACGATATGCCCCACGCCAAATAAACCAAATTGCCGCGGCCAGACGGTGCATATTTAACCTTGCCGCCATACTAAAAAAGTGCGCAAATTCAGGGCAAAGAACATATCGACGTCTACTAGTTCAACAAAATTTGACAAATAACGGGAGCAAATCTCACGAGACGTCAAGAAATACACCACACGTTTTATAAATTGTGGATTCTTGAATAAATACAGCTCAAATCAACCTGCTTCGGTACCACCGCGCTCGCCCGTGGCTCCCACGTACACATGTATTAGAGGTACATATTCGCCTTGCAGGTTTCCATTAAGAAAGCTGTACTAATAGAGTGTGTATACGGGAGGCTTTTAGGCATTCTGCAATTTGTCCCGTGCTGCTTTTAACCTTGGTTTCCTCTATGTCGGCTCTATGCGGATATACCCTCCTGCATATTGCAATGGACTGACAGTGTGTTTCCTTTGTTTCAGTACTGGCTGGACCCACAAAAGAAAATTGTTCAACAGCTGAAAGGTAAAGCAATGAAATACGGAGTTCTGCTGGGACTGACCACATTTTCACTACTCCCAGGCTTGACCTTTGATCCTTAGATGAATGCAAAGTGATCAGAACCGTGCCGATACTATGGCTAGAAGTTTTAGCATTAGAACCGTTCAAGAGATTGCTTTCTAGCTGGTCCCGCCAGAACTCTATTGTATTGCAGATGCAAAACTGCTTGTAATAGCCTGCCGTAGCCCTTTCTACGTCATAAGCGCATATTGTGTTAGATTAGATTATGTTCGGTTGGGTTTCGCAAGGTGGAAAGTTGATAGGTTTGTGGGGTCGTCGATTGGGCTGGGTTGTATTGTTAGGCTAGTTAGATTAGCCTATTAATTGCATTTATACATGCTATATTTTATTAGTCTAACTTGTAGGAGAAGCTGCTGGCTTGACCAGAGATACAAATTAAGACTGAAAGGACTTTGCGGAAAGATCAATGTGTCCCAGACAGCCATATGTTAATGGCATTAATGTATTTCTCGTGTGATTTGGAAGTTAGAACTGCATGGATACCAATTCAAGGAAGCTTGCACAGGCGTGACAACCAACCCGGAACTTCGAAGTAAGCATTGACTCATTGCACGGCTAATAATGATTCATGGTTGTTCTGAACTCCTTCCTAGCCGCTGCCGTATTTGGCTGCTGAACGGCGGCACATGACTGGAGCTTTCCCTATCATATCTGACCGAAGCGCGTGTAAGGGGTCCAGCAGATCATGCCCGGTTTTTACCGCGGCCCAGGGCGTTACGCCTCAGGCTGAGTTGCATCACGTGAAAGTCCGCACGGTTTCACCAGCTCACCAATACTGCAAGGGCAACTTTTGCCGCTGTCCGGCCGCGCGATCGATCGATAAACACCGGCACCTGCCGGATAAGAGCGCCCCGACACGCCAATCATGGCGCGTCTTGCAAGCTCGGTCCGGACTGATACCGGCGCGGAGCGTCCAGAGCGGACTCTGAGTGTGACAGGGGAGTCATCAGATCACGCCGAGTGTGATGGGGAGTCATCAGATCACGCCGAGTGTGATGGGGAGTTATCAGATCACGCCGAGTGTGATGGGGAGTCATCAGATCACGCTGAGTGGGACAGGGGAGCCATCAGATCACGCCGAGTGTGACAGGGGAGTCATCAGATCACACTGAGTGTGATGGGGAGTCATCAGATGACGCTGAGTATGACAGAGGAGTCATCAGATCACGCTGAGTGTGACAGGGGAGTCATCAGATCACGCCGAGTGTGACAGGGAAGCCATAAGATCACGCTGAGTGTGACAGGGAGTCATCAGATCACGTGTAGTGTGGCAGGGGAGTCATCATATCACCAAACTGAATCACATGATATTACTATGCCGTTTTACGTATCGTACCACAGTTCAAAAGTGAAAAAACCTCAGCTTGGCGCAGTTTGGATTTCTATGGTTATGCAGATATCAGCACAATGTGCCGCTCACACTACTTCAACACATCATCATATTGCAGGGCAAAAGTATAAAGTGGATGGAGACGAACAAGTGAACATGTCCCTTGAATGTCTCGTCACTCAGGGCCAGGGAGCCACAGAGCGGCAGATACAGTCCTCGTGCATGGAGACCACGAGACAGATTCCGAGTGCCGCGGGCCTGCCACCACGTGATGCTTTCCGAGCGCCATGCACTCTTTTACCATGTGAGACACCGAGCGCCATGCGCCTGTCGCCATGTGAGGCACACTGAGCCCCAGACGCCTGTTGCGATGTGAGGCACACCGAGCGCCATACGCCTATCACAATGTGAGGCACACCGGGCGCCATGCGCCTGTCACTATATCAGGCACACCGAGCGCCATGCGCCTGTCACAATGTGTGGCACACCGAGCGCCATGCGCCTGTCACTATATCAGGCACACCGAGCGCCATGCGCCTGTCACAATGTGAGGCACACCGGGTGCCATGCCGACTAAAACCTTGTGAGACTCATCAAGTGTCATGCGCCTGTCACCATGTGAGACATACACGGAACGCCATGCATCTATCCATGTCAGACACATGGGAGAGCCATGCACCTGCCACCTTGTGAGATACGCCGAGCGCCATGCACCTGCCATTATGTGATGCACACGAAGCGCCCATGGGCCTGCCGCCATGTAAGGCACAAATTGAGTGTCAAATGTCTGTTACCATGCACTGATCTGGTTGGATCTCACATGGCGACACATGGCGACCGCGTCCGGTTAGCAACTTAACAGGGTATCGTGTAACCAGGCGGTTTTGCAGGAAAACCAATCAAAGCTGCGGGTACAGATATTGACCCGCGTCCCCGCCTAATGACATCAACCAAGGCTTCCAACACGAAGACCCAAGTGCGGCTATCGAATAATCGTTCACCAACTGAACCACAGGGCTCATGGTCGGATACGTGGGCTGCTTTCTAGCCGCTTGCGCTCGACAGATTGTGACTGGTTTCAGCAATGGTTTTCAAGGTACGATCGGTTGCATCACCGGGCTGGACAACCCACCAGGCCGGGTTTGTAATTCCATACCTTCCTGCATAACTGCTTCCGCAAAAATTTGATGAATTGCTCATCTTCATGGGGCTGGAGGCGCGCGGGTAATCAAAAACCTTATCAATGAAAAGCGCTGGTCGGCCAGCGACCGGGAAACAGTCGTGGAGGTTCGGAAGCAAGGTGAGTGGGTGTTGGGTTTACGCAATCCTCTACCAGCAAGGACACAAGCTGAGCCAATCTTATCTGAAACATGGGATTGTTCAACTTGAGCATCCCGATCCCGCCCGGTCATCACGTTTTTTTTGGTAAGAGCTACCATATTTTTAGCCACTGATGGCAGCACCGTAAAGTTTTAGCAACAAGAAGTGCAATGTTTTAAAAGCTATGCTGAATAAGCTATCGAACATTGGGATGCGGGTTGCTTCCTCGGGGGCGGGTGTTCCTGCCACGTTACAATGTGATGACGCTCTCACCCCTCCCCCCGTCCCTCATCGATTGACAAGGAAAGGCTAAATCTTAAAATCGTAAAAACACTAAAGAACATGGTTTTAAGCCGGGTCCACACCTGATTGGTCCCTTGTCGCACGTCATGCAAGGAAGGCTTTGCGTCACCGGCTGGAGGACCGCGTGTCGTCCAGCTGCAAGTGGTTCTGTCTCCCGTTTATCAGCATCCGTTCGGAATCCAGTTTCGCGACTCATCCAGCTTGGGGTGCGGTGTTAGAGTGCTCTGAGCCGCAGTCACCACCTGAAGGCAGGTGGCATAATTTGCAGTTCGTTCTGAGCCGCGAAAACGGTACAATATCACATGTAAGCAGTAGGATTTTAGTCCGGCAACGGCCTCCGCGGAGGCTCGACAAGCAAAATTAGAGCTGCAGTGGATGGCTTTCTGGTCCTCATTGTGCGATAATTGTGTATGACGGTGTGCGTTGGGCCCCGAAAATGGTCTGATATCACATGTAAATAGCAGGGTCTTACCCTGCAACGACCGCCACTCAGGCTAGAGATGGGAAATTAGAGCTTCATTACAAGGACCTATAGTTCCTAGTGTGCTGCAGGTGTTGCTGGTAAATATGTTGTAATAAAAGCCGCCGGTGTACCTCACATGATTAGCGTTTTTAGCAACCAAGACCGGTTTCATTAACAGACCATCTGGAAAGCTGAATTATAAATGCTTCATCCCAAAGATAACTCAGGGTACCGTGAAGCGCTTGGCCTTGGCCTTCGTATTCCGCTATGGATGAACGTAAACCTGTGGTTCCGGCTGCCGGTGTGTGGCAGGGCGTCGGATAACGGGGCTCGACTTGGCAGTCGAAGATGCGCCTTCATGGCTTTGGAGAGCTTTGCTCGGTGGCCCACCCGTCATTTTTACATCGGACAGCAGATGCAACTGAATACAAATGTTTTATCTATCCAAGGTGCACTTCTACTCGACAATTCTGAGTGCTAGAGTGCTGGAATGACATAAGGCAATAAATATACGTCACACTCATACGCTCCTCCGCAGACCAGATGCCGTCCTTCTCAGAGAAAGCTGATGTTCCCTAAGAAATGTGCTCAGTGTTCACCATACGGGCTGACTGACGGCCATTTTACAGTACAACATCTAGTTTCTGTAACTGTGGATGGGGAGTCTTCAGATCCGGTACGGCGCGTCTCTGCGCACTGTTCTGACCTGTCCCCATATCCTTTTTTAGGGACGGATCCATTCACATTATACTTTTGCGTCAAGTTTTACGCAGCGGATCCATGCCGACTCCTGGAGGAGATCACCAGGTCAGTCAAAGACCTTGCACGTCCGTGCGTGAGTGTTTTGTTGCATGATAGGTGCATGATTTGTAACTAAGCTGTTGGTAGCGGACTCACATTTCGTCCCTGATCACCTCCGAATGATATCGACGAGTTTGACTGACGTATCATCAAATCCCCTTTACACGAGACAAAAAAGGCTACATAGCTAAGACAGCTAACCAACATTGTGTCGGTCAAACTGCAATAGTGGTCATGCAATCTTCGCATCTCATTAAACGCACTCCATTTTATTAATCCTCTAAAGGGGAAGCAAGATAAATACCGTTCCCCAAGCGCCATTTGTGAGACGCAAGGAAGAACGATTAAGGGTATATTCGCAGCTCACCAAGAATGTTCTATTGCACGTGACGTGACGTAGAATCTTTGCTGGCGCGTTTGTAGCGTGGTTCGTTTTTTGTCTATATCTTCGTAGCTGTCGTGACAATGACTGCGCATGCTGAGGCATGCGATTTTCGTCTGCAGGTACCTTGAGTGCTCGTGGGAAAGGAAGTGGCAAATGTTGCTCATTGTAGCGTATAAAACAACTTTCTATCATTCGTGGTCGGTCCTGGTCATGCAAATTGACCTTCATTTTTGAATCTGTTGCGCCATTTCTGTCCACGCCAATCGAGTCGAGGAAAAAAATGATGCGTGTCCTGCAAACATTCCACTTAACGTTATGTAAAATTGTTGTCGTCCGGGCCGCTGCGAACTCCAAACGGCGCAGAATCTATGGGGTATGACGTCATGCCAGACGTCGACAGCGTATAATCTGGGTCTCCTGGGTTGCTACAAATACAACATAAAAGGCAGCACAGCCAAATTTGGACAGCTGATAATGTTTTACAGGGCAAGTTTGGCATACTTTTTTTTTTGCTTCGTTCAGTTAAGCTCTGGCTTCCCCTTTGGAGGTTGGGGATATCATTTTACGGCGAGTCTCTGTGTCCTGTTGTCATGAAATGAATGGTGACCTAAAGTATGCACGGTGAACGGACACCTTATACTCTGCAGGCGTGCAGGACACTTTTTATTGATCACTTCCATTTTTAAGGGCACATGAAATAGATAGTATGGCATTACCTTGTTTGGCCTTAGATCAGCTACATGACCTTTTTGGTCTGATACTGATTCAGGACCTGATTTTGTGTTCGCTGAGCTGGAAAAGCTTTGTTCCAGGCTCTGGATCCCAGCCTTAATTTTTCGGTTCTATGTTCGTGGTAGTCTACGCAAGTTGTTCAGTGCATTAACGAGGCGCATTGTTCACATAGATAAGACAGCAGTATTGGCCTTTTTTCTCGGAGAGAAGCCAAGAGAAAGGAAATATAATAAGGTTGATATTTCGGCAACATGCCTTTATCGAAACAGTAGCAGAAGTTTTTTGCTATTGCTTCGATACAGGCATGTTGTCGAAATATCAACCCGATTATATCTCCATTCTCCTGGTTTTCCTCCGATGAATAAGGCCAATGCTACTGCTTTATTCGCAGCATTTAATCTGACCTGGAGGGTACTGGCGGACTGCATGGGCCCAAATCTGACACCGTTGGATGTCTTAGAGACCAATACAGTACTGGGTTTTGTTGCGTAGCTCAGTTTGGGATTAATTGGCAAGGGAGCGCGAGCCACCACCACCTCGCCAACGACACCAATCAAAACACCCTTCTTCCCAACGTTGATTAATCTTGCGGTGAAAGCCATGGTTGAGGGCATTACGTTAGCCATGTGTTGCCACGTAATGTCGCAACTAATCCTGATATGTGTATTTTGGGACGGATTTCTTCGTTCAGGCTGAAATCATTCAGGCTCCACTGCATTCCTTATGACCATCAACGTAGTGTGGATGCTCCTAATCCGTTATTTTTTCAACAGGTACCAGTTCTTCCTGCAAATAAAGCAAGATATCCTGGAGGGCCGGCTGCCGGTAACCCCGGAGCTGTCTGCAGAGCTTGGGGCTCTCGTCATTCAGTGTAAGACCTGGCGAGGCGGTGTGGGTGCAATCAAGACCACCGAGAACCCGTCTCCTGGGAGAGATGAGTTCCCCCAGGAGCGTTTCTTTATACTGTTTCCTGGCGTGGGTTGAAACCTTCATGGGTTTCGCTTATGCTGTGACATTCTTTGCTGATTCTAGAATTGAAACCTGCTGGTGTGATATGTTTTTTATCATTTTGGTCACGGACCACATTAGGCATCGGGGTGATGGTGCCAGATCTAAAGGTCGGCAGAAAACGGTTTAGCATAGCTTTACATGCTGCAATGTCCGCCGCGGTAGCTCAGCTGGTTAGAGCGCCTGCCTTACTTCGAAACCGCCCACCCGTGGCGGGGTGAATGCGGGTTGCCAAAGGCGCTCATTATTTTGCCTAGACAGGTATGGCCTACGGCTGGTGGCAGCGGTCGCGCTAAATGTCAGGTGACGTCAGAGGGCAGGACGGACCGTGCCGAGCATTGCAGCACGCTAAACTTTTGGCTGCCAAGTTCTGCCGTTGATTTGGAATTGCACGATCGAATGGTAATAGTCAGGACTCACACAACAAGCACTGCTTAGCGTGGGCCCTGATCCCAGAAATCTATCCATGCACAAGGCTCGGATGAAATCTTGTTTAATTGGAGTCTGCGGAGAACAATACCGCTATAACGGTCGTTTAATCACACACCTTTTGTAATGATGGCACTGGCAGACCAGTCGCTGCTGTGCCCATAGCATTCGTTATTCAATGAATTCGTCAGATGATCTTCTGGAACCATGCACCTGCACAGGAATTCGGCACATTACTGTGGGTAGCCTGCAAACTAGTAACGCATGCATGCACGTAGAGCCATTACGGTATTCAACTTCACCACAGTTGTCAAACCGACTGACTTCAACATCATGTCAACGAATTAACCAATGCAAGCGCATCACCCACTCCCATCTCTCATCGAAATCACCTACCTTCGTAATTCAGTCGCGATCGCGCGGTGCGTGATGCGACTCAATCGCTTCCGCAACCGCGCTCTTCTGGCTTCATTCTCGTGGTCTCCCTGCAGCGGAGCTGGGCGATTATGACCCGAAGCGTCACGTGGACGGCTACGTCAGCGAGTTCCGGCTGCTGCCGACTCTCACGCCCGCGCTGGAGGAGAGCATCGAGCAGATCCACAAGTCCCTCGTGTGAGAACCGATCCGCGTTAAACATCCCGCCGCCCCCCTATGAGCACGCCAAGGCGATGTCCATTAGGCGACACGTTCGCGTCACCGCTGAGAATGATAATCACGGCATGCAGTTGATATGATAATCGCCACAGCCCGCTGACCAAAGAGTACTTTGGTTTGCACGACACATGACGTCGTCTCGTACACCCATGTCTTACCTGCCACATGCCAAATGGAGCACTTAACCTGTCACGTGTTTTTTGACAGCCCGATTTGCAGGCGATTCCCCCCGGAAATGGCCGTCTGTCCGCCTGGATTCACTTGCAGCGCTGTGTCACAGAAACAGTGCCTTCCTCACACGCACCCGAGGTGCTGCCATTACGATCGTGCGTGGTGTCATTGACGAATTCCCGTCATCAGTGATCAGTGAAACCTCTGTGCAGTTGGCTTACGCCAGCGTTTGACGATCATTTTTGCGGCTGGCAGGGGTCGCGTGCCATCAGTGGTGGAGTTCAACTACCTGGAGAAGGTTCGGTGGTTGGAGATGTACGGTGTGGACCTTCACCCCGTGTTGGTGAGTAACAGCTATGATCTTTTTTTACGCTCTCTCCCATTTGTCCGTATACTTATCCCTCCTTCTGTCTTCCATCTCTCCGCCCCCCTTTCCTTCCCCCCCCCCCCCTCTCTCTCTCTCTCTCTCTCTCTCTCTCTCTCCTCTCTCTCTCTCTCTCTCTCTCTCTCTCTCTCTCTCTCTTTCTCTTCCTGTGTCCATTTCCTCTCGCGCTCTCTGTTCCTATCTGCGCTATTTCCGTACAATTCCGTTTTCCTCCCTCCACCGTTGCTAAACCGGCGTTATATAATGGACCTGGATTAACGCTGACAGTTCGCCTAACGTCGTTTGTCATTTGGCAGCGACGTGCGCCAGAAACGAGCTTTTTGCAACGTTACCTTTGTTTATAGCCCTCGTTCGACATACCAGTGGGGGCGTAAGCCCAAACAAATGCATGGTTAGCCTTTTACACCGGGTTTTAGCTCCAAAGCTGCGATGAGCATGGTGACCTGCTGGGTGTTTTGACAGCCCAGTAACGACTGCAGTCCCGGAAATATTGATGCCCGTATCGGCTCGAGCCAGCAAACGCGAGTTTTTCGATAATCAGTGGTACAAGGCTTTCCAGCGCAACATTGTCACCCGCCAATTTGACTTGTGTATCTCCAACTTTGCCAGCGATCGGCCTTTTCCCTATGCGTGATTTGTTTGTATTTTTATTATTGGTCCGGAACAGGTCATCTCCACATCTCATAGCTGGTACTGCACTTGCCACACCCAGCTTACATTCCTGTGGCATCGGCTGCCCAGAAAGAAACCCAGAAAGCTGCATGATTTCATTCACATACTTTGCTGCTGCTGCTGACAATACGGTCTTCAACCCTCGCACGGTTGCTGCTATGCGCCGATTTTAAACTGAGGGAGAGGGGGAGGCCGTTGCGCTTATATTTTGTGGCGCACAGAAATCGAGAGACGATTGAAACATTAGATAGCTTTTGCAGCTCTATACCTGCACAATGCAATCAGGCGCTTGCAAGCAGCCCGCCAGTGCCCTGTTTAAGTGGACTGGGCCACCAACGAAATGTGTGTTTGTGTTAAAGGGATTGGGCCCACAGACACATTGTCTTTGAGCTGCATACCAAGGACGTCGCAGTACACTCTTCTGACTTATTCGACATCTTTCTTGTTGCTATGAGTTTTATATTTATGCTGCAAAAGTTACAGAACTGTTTGGGCCAACACAGACCCAATACAATGACAGACAATTGCTGCAAATTGTTTTCCTGGTATCACAGCGTTTTGGTGCCTTTCGTTATGTCCGAAGAGATCACACAACAATGCTATTATTTCAGATGCTAGAGGTTTGCTCGCTTCGAAAAATGTGTTTCGGTATCGGAATGCTGTACTCGCTCTAGGAGAAATCAGAATGGAAACCCGTTTAGTAGTTCCACTCGCTAATATGCGTAGGATTGTAACATGTACTTATACTTCATACATTTGCCCTTACCAGGTGCTCGCTCTTTTGCGCTGCGATGATTAGGGTTTGGCTGCAACAAGGAACCTTGATGAAGAGTAGTGGTTCCCTTGATTACGGTATCATTTTTTTCTGGCACTTAACACGCACCCGGGTGGCCGACTGGATGCCCTTCGCTCGGGTGGGGGTCAATTTGACCCCCCTGAGGTCTCGGGAACTAAGAAAGCTAGAAACACCAAATTTACAGTGTGTTGACCTGTACGTAAACTCACTTAGGTCAAAGTTTGAGGTTCCTAGGTTATAACTTTTGGGTCAAATAAGGTCAAACAATGCAGAATTGCAGACTGGCCACCAAGGTGCCCCCAGAACATAGGTAACTGTTTCTAAGCAAAAGCTCACATGCTCATTTAAGGTCAATGGCTTCGCTTGACCTTCCAAATGTCATCTTGACCAAAATCATGCAAGACCGCTCTGGGGTTTGCATTTGAATAAGCGACAAAGATTACGCTAGGCAGTATGTTTCTAAAAACAAAAATGTTGACCCGGGTTATTTTAGGTCAATGACCTGTTCTCACCTCTGAGAAGTCAATGGAACATGTATAATGCTGTTCCTGCTATCAATAAATTCGAAATGATCACCAGAAACTATCCCATACATCAAGCCTAAACAAATCAAACAGGTTAGGTTTCACCGTGGGTGACCTTCATACCTAACCTTAGGTCGATGTAATTTGCTTATTCAATATTTGTGTTGCCTAAGAAAGCATCTCAGAGACGCATGGCTTCGTCTAACACTCCGTTGTTGCATCATATTGAACAAATCACTAGAAATTGACTTCGCTGAAGCCATGGCCTGACTTTGACCTGCCATAAGTCAGCGACCTTATAAGGTACATCTAAATGTTCTCGAGACGCCGGCTCCCGGTCCCGCCAGGGCGCCTGCAGGAGCCCGTCACCAGTCTGGGGTAGACCAGTCTCGAGACGCCGGCTCCCGGTCCCGCCAGGGCGCCTGCAGGAGCCCGTCACCAGTCTGGGGTAGACCAGTCTCGAGACGCCGGCTCCCGGTCCCGCCAGGGCGCCTGCAGGAGCCCGTCACCAGTCTGGGGAAGACCAGTCCCGAGACACCGGCTCCCTGTCCCACCAGGGCTCCCGCAGGGCCCGTCACCAGTCTGGGGTAGACCAGTCTCGAGACGCCGGCTCCCTGTCCCACCAGGGCTCCCGCAGGGCCCGTCACCAGTCTGGTGTAGACCAGTCTCGAGACGCCGGCTCCCTGTCCCACCAGGGCTCCCGCAGGGCCCGTCACCAGTCTGGGGTAGACCAGTCTCGAGACGCCGGCTCCCGGTCCCGCCAGGGCGCCTGCAGGAGCCCGTCACCAGTCTGGGTAGACCAGTCTCGAGACGCCGGCTCCCGGTCCCGCCAGGGCGTCTGCAGGAGCCCGTCACCAGTCTGGGGTAGGCCAGTCTCGAGACGCCGGCTCCCGGTCCCGCCAGGGCGCCTGCAGGAGCCCGTCACCAGTCTGGGTAGACCAGTCTCGAAACACCGGCTCCCTGTCCCGCCAGGGCTCCCGCAGGGCCTGTCACCAGGACGAGCACAACATTCTGAGGACTGAGGCTTGATATCGGGTTTGAGGCAGGCTGCTGCATTATCACCGCCTGCTTGTCTTTCTCCTTAATTCCACAGCTCAGAAATAGCCCGGACGGGATCAAGAAGCTCTAACCAAACCCAGACCAATCAAACCAAAACTTTCCGCTTTTGTTTACTACGAACCCAGCGCTACATATTTAGGCGGCCGGTGGCGTAAAACTGATAATGTAATGTGCATGTTTCGGGGGGAAAAATGCGGAGAGCAACTTGCCAATTCTGTGAAGCGTCCAGTATCGGTGTAACTCGCAGTAAACAAACGCGTTATTGTATGGAGGTAACCGGTACTGCACTTACAAGTCATCACGTGTCCGATACATGTAACTGCATAGATCTGCCCTTTCAGGGTGAGGACCACACGGAGTACTTCATCGGCCTCACTCCAGCCGGAGTTATCGTTCTCAGAGGGAAGGTCAAGGTCAGCAACTACTTTTGGTAAGTAAAGCCTGTGTTGGATTTCTTTCTGTGCTTTCAGATGGACACTCGTTATTGTTCTCGCATTTTTGGTATAGAACTTCGCAGACTGGGTAAACCTATAGGCGCCCATATGAAATGGGTGACGGTTTGGAATAGGCGCATATTTGGGGAGAATTATAGGTACGGCTGCAGGAACGGGTTGGGGAGAAACAGTCGAATATGTCGAAAAATATCTCTTATGCACAATATAATTGCTTACGCTTTTTATCTAGCATTTACTCCATTCATATGGCTTTCGTAATTACCACCGCAATGAGTAAGTTTGCGTTTAAACACTTCTGAAACTTTTGCATAATCTATAACTAAAATGCTGGAAAATGCAAACGGGTAGGTGATCGGTGGGTACAGGTGATGAAAAGTGAAAAACGGGAGGGTACAGGCACAGCCATGTGGGGGCGTTCATTAGGTAAGGAGCATTTGACCCGGTAAGGCTCTAGCTGGTAAGCTCAGCTGGCGGACGGCCCTGGATAGATTTTGAGGAGTCCGTATCCGATACAGTAAATACTTGTCTTTGGGCTCCGGATTCGGGATCCACGCACCAGTGCCAAATGTTCACATCCTTCTGAGCCGTGAGTTACCGATGTCGATGGCTAATCCACACTTGTTTCGAGCCAGCATGTTCGGCATCACCCTTCAATAACGATTCATTTGTGTGTGTTGGCAGGCCTCGCATCTCCAAAGTGCACTTCAAGGGCAAATACTTCATGCTGCGTGTACGGGATAAAAATGTAAGTCAATGAATGGCAGACAGAGCAGTAGAACTGGCTACCTGACTGAGAAGCAAGGCGGATCACGTGGTCACCATCTTGTCCGCATTTCGGACTCAGTCTCCACCTTTGCCTCCTTTAGTTGCGGGTGGTGTGTCTGTCAGCTGCTGTGCTGTTACTGTCATGTCATGTTGGCGTTGCCTGTGCTTCGGAGGTGCCCCGCAACGTCAGAACCCTGTCAGGCGGCGTGACAGGCGGCGCTACTGCTACGCCATCACAGCGTAGCGAACCAAGTTTTCAGCCTTCGACATGACAGCCGAATTGATACGCTGCATTGGTGCGCTGTAGTTTGTCATGCTTGTCAGGACGCTTCACAGGACATTAACGCAACGGCGGCTGGCAGGCAGCACTGACATACTTTGGACTTGCAACGACAGAAGATACTTCTCAAGTTGGAAAGCATTTCTATTAATGAATTATCCCCAGCCCTGAGCAAATAGTCTAACTGATGTACTAACTCTTGAGCTGCTAAGTGTTGAGCGTCAGCTACCGTTGACTTCAACGTGAATATGTGTCCCCGAGTTGTTTTCTTCCTTTGGTCATTGCATTTGATGCACGTTCAAGTATTAGCGTCATATAAATATTTCTACCTTTTCTAGGATTATTTGCCTCCTCCTGCTTCAAAAAAGCGATAAAGATATAGATACGCAAGCAAGATCGGTTAGACCTCGGCCGCCGCAAATGGACGAAATGATATCGACCTACACATCAGTAATTTTGTTCGCCCAATTATTAATTTGAACGAGACTTCAAAGACAAAATGATAGAGCCTCGCACGATGCATTACGAAGCTTGTTAATGCAGAATCAGTGGTGTACTAAATTATGCATACATATATATATATATATATATATATATAAATATATAAATATATATATATATATATATATAATTATTTCTTCATCAACGGAACTTTCTTTAATAAAACAATTGAGACCTTCCAACAGCATTTGATCGCTCTCTCCTGCTATAACGCGAGCATTCCAGCGCAACAGCTCACGGCATGCAAGCATTCAGTCCGCTGCCATGCCTACCATATCAGCACGGCGCCGCCCGCTCATCTCTTTCACTCGGCAGAACGAAGAGAACACGTACGGGTTCGAGACGCCATCCAAAGACGCTTGCAAGCACCTGTGGAAGTGCTGCGTGGAGCACCACAGCTTCTTCCGGCTGGTGCAGGTGAACCAGCCGTCCGGCGGCCGGCCGCTCTCCATCAGCTCCAGGTTCCGCTACAGGTGAGCCCGGGCGGCGGGCGTGCGGCCTGGCCGCGCTCACGACCGGTCTGCGCGGCCGAGACTTTTCTCCGCCGGCGTGTATTGTTCGATGACTCCGGCCGGCCCAGGACGCTGACGTTAACGAACGCCGTCTGTCATTGACAGGAGACGTGTGACCTTGTTATTGCGCGGCGCGCTCGTCCGGGTAATTCCGGCCGAATGTTCCAAAAGCAATACTTTCTATCGACGCAGACACTGATGACTAATGCCGGCGCAGTGTGCAAATTTAACCGCTCTTGTTCCTCCCTACAACGCAATGCATCCTGCAGCCAAGCCGCACCCTCCCCTCCCCCCCCCCCCCCCCCCCCCCCCCCCCCCTTCTCCACCAGCTCCTCACTCGATCCTGCCTGCACCGTGCGTGCGCGCCGTCAGAGGTGGCCGCGGGCGGGGGTGGGCGGCCGGGCGGCCCGCCCGCGGCCACGGGCCCCATATGACGTCATCCGGCTGTCGTGCGAGCGGGCGCGCGCCGCCCGGCCAGCCGTGGGCCCGTTGGAGCCTCGCCGGCGAGGGCCGCCGGTCGCCGCCAGCGCCGCCGCGCCGTCGTAAAGGCGCTGCACCGCACCTGAAGCGAATGGCTGACGCGGCCCATCCGCGGAGGCCGGCTCGCCTCGCTCAATCCGGTTTCGGCAGACGCCTTTTATGATTGCAAGGAACGTTAATGTCCTGGAACAATTTGTGTGCAAACCAGCGAATATTATGGGTGCAGAAAGATTCCCACGCGATCGGAGGCCGGCGCGGCCATTCACTTCAGCGGCGTGACCCGGGTGCTGCCGGCGGCTGCAGCTCCGAGCACAGCGGCCGGCTGCAGGCAGCGGCCGCAGCTCCGGCTGCAGCACCCGACGCTCTCCCGGCAGCTTCAGCTTAGGCAGTAATGCTCGGGAGCTGCAGCTCCGATGGTAATGTCCGGTTGCTGGAAGCTGCCGCGACTCCAGCGCCGCGCCACCAGGCCTGTCGCCCAGGCCCCTGTGCGCAGCGTAAGAAAGCTACGAGCTTTCGACCCAAGAGGACGGAATCAACGTCTGACCATCTTTGCCTGAATGTGTGTTGTTTAGCAGTGCCGCTGATTCCTCCTCGCTAAAGAACCACGAGCGCTATAGGATGAACTCGCAGAGGTGCAGTTGCTCCTGTGATGCCGAGTCCGTGCAGTGTCTGGCTGTAGCTAGCCGTCCTGTACTTGGGCCACATTTGCGACGTTCCGCCGGGTCCGACTGACTCGCTTTGGTACCCTCCTCCGCAGCGGCCGAACGGAGAAAGAGGCGCAGCGGGAGGCCAGCCTGCATCGGAGACCGCCACCCAGCTTCAGTCGCTCGTCCAGCCGGCGCTCCAGCGCCTCCAGTCGCGCCGGCGACTCCGCCCACCACGGTCAGTCCCACAGCCTCCCGTCTGTGGGTCCCCACCCAACCACAGACACCCGCCCCGCTCCAACACTGGCCCCCGCCCCGCTTCGCCATGGGTTCCCTCCCCGCTCCGCCCCACATCATCCCGGCCCCGCTCCCCCCGGTCACGGACTCCCACCCCACCACAGACCCTCGCCCTGTCCCGCCATGCGCTCCCGCCCAGTTCCACCCCACACCACCACAGCCCCCGCTCTCCCCGGCCACAGACTCCAATCTCACATAAGACCCTCGCCCTGTTCCACCACTGGCCCCCGCCCCGCTCCACCGTAGGCTCCCGTCCCGCTCCGCCCCGCATCACCACAGCCCCCGTTCCCCGGCCGCAAATCCTCGCCCGCCCTGCACCACTCCAGGCTTCCGCCCCAGGCCCCCGCTCCGCCCGCGCCGGGTCCCGCCGCGCGGGCGAGAATAGTGTCCTCGTGTGAACGACCGCGCGCCGCCGCCTGCGGCCGTACGTCGCCTGTATGGCACGTCCGCCGGTGAAACGCTGCTAATTTGTGTTAGGCCGCGCGAGGCGGCGGCGGCGGGACAGCTCGTCAGCTGGCGGCAGATGCTGGCAGACAGCTGTCCTGAGCGAAGCTCTCCCCGCCGGCTGTCGGACAGTCTGTCGTTTCCGCGGCTGGCCAGTAACGCGCACTACAAAGCTGCTGAGAAATGCGAGGTGCTCGCTTCGGCTTGGGGAGATTTTCCCATTTGAAGCCCCGTTGAAGAGACCGAAGGCTTCGCGTGCGGCAAATCAATCGTCAAAAGTCCATTTACGTCTGATAGCAATCCTTTGATGTGACTCTGCTACGGCTATTTGCAAATCCATACCCTTTCTTACGAGTGACGATTCATCCCAGATTATGGATACAAACCAGTTTTTAGGTTGACAAAGATGGCGAGCGTTACAGAGGAATGGATTCGCATAAATCCGATAAAACGTTTCATCGCTTTTACCGTTCGACAACACCGTTGCTGTATGTGAAGAAATATTGCAATGCTTGAAAGCCGCTGCGGCGCTTCTGAAAGAAGACTGATTTGCAGTTTAGCTGCTCTCTTTTCAGTGAGCGTAAATATCGTCAAAAATGACGGCGATTGTGTACAAAAGCAGCAAGACGATTAAACAACGGTTGCATCAATTTTGTAACTTCTTGTAGAAATGAATGGAGCTAGTCATCATAATTCAGAAGCAGACGACTTCCAAGAAATACCACAGTTAAAGCATTATCTTCAGTTTAACGTGCATCCAGCAAGAATGCATGGATTGCTGCAGGGACAACAAACCGTGGCCACACGATGCAATTAAGTCTGTCAGCAGCTGTGCTGATCGGTTTAGCACAGGCACGATCATTGTGCAAACTGGTTTGGTCTGGGGTCCGTCAATTTGAAAGTCAAATGCATGTAATGACCACGGAAACGGCTACTTGACGGCTGTAAGGCAATTATCCTGCCCACATCAGTCACTCATGCAATTCATATAAACGGATTGCTTACGATTTGGGTTGGTCAAGACCTTGAGCTGATGTTTGGGCTGCCCTATGTCGCCTCGACAGTTCAATCTAGGATGGAATCTGCGGTTTTGGACAGCAAAAGGCTGTCACAGGGAAGTGAGGAGTACTACTTCAGGTGCTTTTCAGACACACGCAGTTTCAAGGAGTTCTGTTTGTTTTCAGCTTCAAGAAGGCAAGAAGACGACACTGACAAAAAGTCTCTCTGTCGTACCGCTCTCTCCATACCTCAACCAGTACAAAGGTATGCCAAGCATAGCAATTGAGCATTTTTCCCAAATACGTCGATGAACACATAGAAAAAATTACACACATTTAGAATAAGGGCACATTTTTTTTCTTAAACCCTGATCTATCTCAAAGCATTCTAAAACGCACAATCAGCGCAATCAGGTGTGTCATTCCGCCCCGTCCGCTGCCAGTGTGTCAGCCCGCCCCATCTGTCGTCAGTGCGTCATTCCGCCCCGTCCGCTGCCAGTGTGTCAGTCCGCCCCGTCTGCCGTCAGTGTGTCAGTCCGCCCCGTCTGCCGTCAGTGTGTCAGTCCGCCCCGTCTGCCGTCAGTGTGTCCAGCATGAGCCGGGCCGGCTCGGTGTCGCTGCAGTGCGCGTCGCGACCCGAGTCGCCGCGCTCAGTGCGCTCGGCGCCCTTCAGCGCCAGCCACGCGCCGGCCCTGTTCAGCGGCGTCAGCGCCGCCGGCAAGGCGCGCCGCAGCGCCAGCGTCGAGAGCCAGTCGTCCGTCGACAGCCGGCCGCACCGCAGGTCAGCAGCGTCCCGGTCGACCCCAGACCGTGGCCAACAGGTCACAGGTGGTGACGGCGTGCCTGTCGACGGTCGCCCGGGGCTGAACGGGGCTCAGATCAGGGCTCTCTTTCAGCTGGCGGGTGTGGTCCCAGACGCTCAGTTTACATGACGACTGAGTTGAGCCTACTGCCAATGCGTAGTGTAAGTGCAGGAACTAACTGACATGTGTCTAACAACACGGGCCACCGAAGTAGGTACTGACCGGTGTTTGCGCACTGAATTGCCTTCCCAACCCCAATGTCGAGTATTGGTCGGATATATTAGACATTTTTGCCAGGAACTGGTTCCTAGAATTGCCAAGCCTCTGAGGTGACTGGGCACGGCCAGCGGTACAAAGAGGTCTGTTTCCAGGCATCGACACGCGCGTAGCTCGGGCAACGAGAGCGACGCCAGCTCGGCGCGCGGCTCGTCCAGGTCGCACCGGAAACACCGTCACCGGCGGAACGAGTCGGGCTCCGAGTCGGAGCGGAGCAACAGCGGCCGCCGGCACCGCAGCAGACGGCACAGGTAACAGATCAGCGGGAGACAGCACAATTGACGGGTCAGCGGGAGACGGCGCAGGTAATAGATCAGCGGGAGACGGTACGGGTGACAGATCAGCGGGGACGGCACAGGTAACAGATCAGCGGGAGACGGCACAGGTTACAGATCAGCGGGAGACGGCACAGGTAACAGATCAGCGGGAGACAGCACAAATGACAGATCAGCGGGAGACGGCACACGTAATAGATCAGAGCGAGACGGTACAGGACAGCACAGCTGGCATGAAGAGATGGCCCAGTCCGGATCACCAGTGGAAAACACGTGGGACACATATCAGCACCAGGCGCCACAGGCGCCACAGGCAGGTTAGATCAACGGCAGCGGACACACAATGTACCATTGCTGAAGGCAGTGCATACGTGATGCCACGAGCAGCATGTCCATCTGGTTGCACCATTACATGACAAACGTGCTCGTTTTACATTTTTGCGGTGACCATCCGATCTGGCAACATCACTGTTGCAAAATCTGCGAATACTATGCATTCTCCGATGCCAAACACCGACTTTTGAGCAAGGCCATCTACGATCGATAGCATGTTTATAGCCCTCCCGTCTGCTCATCACATGCACTGCGGTGATTTCGACGCGATCAACATGGAGCTGCTGCGCATGCGCGGTAGATCGAGCGCACCGGTCGGCAGGCGGCCGCTCTGTGACCGTCTGTTCTGCTGCAGACCGAGCGGCACCAGCTACGAGCTGGTGGACTCGGAGGCGCAGTGGCGTCAGGTGCAGCGGCGTCAGGCCGAGGGCCAGCTGGCTGCGCCCGCCACTGCCGCCGTCCAGCACCGCTCCGGCTACCTCAACTCAGGCATGGAGACCGAGTCGGAGCTCTCCTACCACCCCAAGCGGCGTGTCAAGAAGCACAGGTGAGACGGACGTGCGCGCGTGGGACGGCCGTTTGACGGCAGCACTGATCTCTCCTCTGTTATGGCACCGGCTGACGGCGGGACGGAGTGATGCGGTTAGGTGACGCTCCGCTATCCACACCTCATCGCAGAATCTCCTGTTGGCGTCTGAGCACGTTGGTGCCGGTCGTGGCTTCGCTTCCTTTAGCAATTCTGACCTGCCAGGTCTCTGCCTTCACCCGTACGACCTGACACACCTGATGCTCTAGGTACCACGCATCTACACCTCTGAGCGGGCATCCCCAGCCATCCAGACTCGCAGCTGTCGGTCACTGAGCTGTGCTGAGCCGGCAGGTCCCGATCGCGGTCGCCGGAGACGGAGCGCAGCCTGCGCCTGCCAGCTGAGCTGCGGCGGCACCTCCAATTCGAGCTGATCGACCCGCCGGCGGTGGACGGCGCCGAGGCTATCCCCTACACCCGGGTTGAGACGGATGCCCGCGTGCCTAGGATCAAGTACGCCACCCGACGCCTGCAGAAGGACGAGTGAGTGATGCAGTGATGCGGGCGTGTCCGGTGTAACGTTGGTTCAACGCGACGCTCCACAATACTCGCTGTTGGACGTGTGGTGCTCAGTTATACTCGTCAGCAGTTTCTTCTTCACGATGAAACTAGTAAATATAAGCCATCGGCTCTGTTGGCACCAGCCGTCGTTTAAACGTGTCGCACGTGTGGACGAATGGGATGCACAAAAGGTGTTCTTTACGCCGTGATGAGTTTTACATGCGTCATGGTATTCTACCGCGAGGAACCCACGACCACACCACAGCTCAGCTGGGTTTTGGCACATTGCGCCGCGCTGCGCTGTGGGCAGCCGGACGCACTGATAGCAGCACACCTTGAGCCCACCTGACTAGCGTCGTCCTCCACCAGCGCCAAGGAGCCGGGCCCGGAGGCGCGCCTCGACGCTGAACCCAGTCCAGGTGGCGCCACCTTCTCGCCCATCCCCCCGGTGTCGTCGGCGGCGGCGACGTCCCGCTCTGAAGCCGGCTTCAGCACCTCGACGCCCCTCTCGGCGCACTACTCGGTGCCACCGGCCCGGCCGCGGCCCGTGCCGGCCGGCGGCACGCTCTCCAGCTACTACGTGACGACGGCGGCCGAGCGCGCCGGCCGCGCCTCGCTGGCCGTCCAAACGGCGCCCCCGGCGGTCGACGGTCGGCCCGGCAAGCCGGGGGTCGGCGCCGCGTCCGCCAGGTACGGCTGGCCGCTGCCGGGCTTCTTCATCTGACAGCCTGGCGGGCCGGGACGGCTTGACCGCGGCGCCGGTCTGGTGACGCTTACCCGTGATCACGTGACGTGCAGCAGGGCGTGGGCTGTGCGGACCGATGGCGAGAACAGTCGGAAAAGTGGAAAGCTGAGAAACCGCGCATGACATTAAATTACTGGTGCCTGTGATTATTTTGAGAGCGATCAAACTTCGATAAAACGTACCACCCTTAGAACGTTACAAACAATGCATCTAACTCTGGTGTAACTTCGCCGACGTTAACAAGATGTACATCCCTGTAAGATGTGTACATCTGCTCTAACGATCTGCCTCCAAACTCGCCTCTCCTGGCATCTCACCAAACTTTTCGGTAGTAGACTAACGAGGAACAGCTGCATCGCATGCATTTAGTTTGTCTAGTCTTAACTCGTAGAATTTTCTATGCATTTTGTGCATTTCATGTATTGTCGTCTTTTCTGGTGTACTTGAGCCTGAAGCCAAGCTCAAACAACGCTCAGTCTGGCAATGCGAATTATGTGAGATGACGGCTGTGATGATTTCAAAGAATGACGAAGTACAGTCTCAGATCATGTTAATACAGGTCGTGACATCCAACTGGTGTAGTATTATCTACTAACAACCAACGGAACCCAAGGGAAACGCGGTCTTTCATCACTAACATACCATCCACTTTGTAAGTACCATTCGCCATGTTGTGCTTTGTTGCTCTCCTCGCATGCTTGGTGGCTTTTGCTTAACCTATTAGCCCTTTCTGTTAGCTTTCGTGGATTCGGCCGAGCTCTCATCACCAAAGGCTAGCGTGTCAAAGAGTGGCGGTTTGTCCTCTGTGTAACTCATGATCCACCCGCTGTCTGCGCACCTCAGCGCGGTGTTCCGCCACCGCATGTCAAACAGTCGCCGAGGAGGTGGCTGCCGATCTGGTCTGGACGGCTGGTGCGCGCGTGCCGGCAGGGTGACGCTGCCTGCCTCGCGGTACGGCCACCTGGGCGCCCCGCCCGCTCACGCCGTCGACGCTCACCACGAGCACTCCGACTCCGGCCTGGGCAACGAGTCGCCGAATGAGTTCACCAGGTACGACCGGCAATGAGGGAGGTCAGCGGCTGACGCTGAGGGGAGACCAGCGGCTGACGCTGAGGGGAGGTCAGCGGCTGACACTGAGGGGAGGTCAGCGGCTGACGCTGAGGGGAGGTCAGCGGCTGACACTGAGGGGAGGTCAGCGGCTGACGCTGAGGGGAGGTCAGCGGCTGACGCTGAGGGGAGGCCAGCGGCTGGCACTGGGGGGAGGCCAGCGGCCGGCACTGGGGGGAGGCCAGCGGCCGGCACTGAGGGAGGCCAGCGGCTGGCACTGAGGGAGGCCAGCGACCGGCACTGAGGGGAGGCCAGCGGCTGGCACTGAGGGAGGCCAGCGACCGGCAGTGATGGAGGTCAGCGGCTGACGCTGAGGGGAGGCCAGCGGCTGACACTGAGGGAGGCCAGCGGCTGACGCTGAGGGGGGGGGGAGGTCAGCGGCTGACACTGGGGGAGGTCAGCGGCTGAGACTGAGGGGAGGTTAGCGGCTGACACTGAGGGGAGGTCAGCGGCTGACACTGAGGGGAGGTCAGCGGCTGACACTGAGGGGAGGTCAGCGGCTGACGCTGAGGGGGGGGAGGTCAGCGGCTGACGCTGAGGGGGGGAGGTCAGCGGCGGCTGAAACTGAGGGGAAGTCAGCGGATAGACCGCAGCGATAGTGTGACTCATGTAATGTGGCTGTTCATGTAGCCCTTCGTACAAAGGGCTTATATTCAAAGTTCGCCACGCTCGACAAACTAATGTCGGGATACAGCTAGGAATGGGTAAGCGATCCCATTATCCTTTCGAGCACTTCTCCATCTCCCACGCACCGTCTCTCCCATTCCCCAATCCCACTCCACCTTCCTTTTCTCTGTCTAGCTCTCGTCTACGTGTCTCCACCTTTCGTCCTTGGTTAATGGACGTCTTACAAACAAACGGACTAGGTCACAGTGTCAGACCCCGGACCTGACACTGGACGTCATGGCCGGGTCAGCCAGCGTGACAGTGACCCCGGTTACCCCGGTGACCTCTGTGAACTCTGTGCCGGCAGGATGACGAACGGGTCGCCTGTTCTGAGCCTGGCGGCCACCTCCCGTGTGAGTAGTGCGCCGCTGGCGGTCGCGGCTGCCGCCACGTCGGAGTCGGACCGCGTCTCGCCGGCCCTCTCGCCGCTCTATGACTGCGCTCTGCCTGGCTCGCGCACCCCTGGGCCGCGGCCGCCGCCCGCTTGGACCGCCTCGCTGCCCCGACCACCGCCGGCGGCAGCCCGGCCCGCAGCCGCCGCCGACACCGGCTCGCTGCCGCGCCCCGGCTGGCGGGTCACTTCGACCCTGCCCAGACCCTCTACCAAGTCCTCAGCCGACATATTCTCGGCGTACACGGGCGCGGCGGCGCCGCGGCCCAGCCACGTCATCCTGCCGCCCACATCCTTCCAGAACCCGGCGCCAGCGCCGGCCGGCGGCCTCACCACCACCACAAACGCCACCATCGCCACCAGCGCCGCCACCACGGCCTCCTCGCCGGTCACTAACTGTCCAAGCACCACTAACGCGGGCTTCGAGAGCGGAGGCGGCGTGCCGGGGCTGAACGGCTTTGTGACCGAGCTTCGGCAGCTGATGAGTGTGGAACGCGGCGAGCGGACGTGGGCGCAGAGCGACAGCAGCGCTACCGCGACGCCGCGCGTAAGTATAAACTTTCTTTGCTATCGACAGGTGGCGGTAGAGTAGAGTTCGTGTGCTGCCTGCGCTGCTTGCACTGAAACAGGACGCTGGGCTTGGTGGTGGATATGGCACCAGCGCTTGTTTGGAGGTCGTTCGTGTTCCACGCTTTTCCCAATTACGTGCCTCATGGCGAGGATACTTTGATGCAGATGTCTAACCAGCCATGTCGAGTCAAAATATTTTTAAGCACCTTGGCTGGTCCTACGCGCAATCGCACTGTTAAAAATGCATATACGTACTTCGGCAATGCAGCTTCACCAGTAACGCTGTACATATTTAGTTTTTGTCGGTTTTTGGAAATCACATGACTTGGACTGCTAATTGCGATGAGATATTTCAGATCTAGCGATCCGGGTAAAACAATAGATCCTCAAGTACAGAAATCATGATTGACAAAAAGCATCCCCCCTGATTTTCACCATTCATCGCTTTATCCCAGGCCCTCGTAACACCGTCTCGCCGGGGTCTGCCACGGCCGCTAGCCATAAGTCGGCTTTAAAGCCGCCGCGGTTGGAACCGTGCCGGGGCGCCCGCACCAACTCCAGGGAAGGGACCCGCACGGTTGTGCGAAGCATGGCCCGTCAGTGTTGGCTGCCCACTAGGACTGCAGACCTGCCCCAGTGCTCACAGATCTCCTCTATCGCATAGCGCTCAAGTGAATATTGCTGGTAGAGCGGCCCTAATCAACACCAAAGCAAACTGGCCAACTACTGATCACTTTGCTGACAACCTGAGCAGAAGTGACGTTCAGTGGCGGGGTTCTCCGCCAAACTTTCTTAGTTCTCCTCATAGTTTTTAAGGCATTTGACAGGGTGACCAAATTGCCTTTCAAACTTGCGTTCATAGGAAAATTATGTAATCGGCGGGAATTTGTTCGTATTGTTTGCCACGTAAGCCACGACGCATTGCCGGTCTGTTTACACCTTGTGCTTCTTCCCGTTTTTCCCTTGCAAGAAAATGTAGGAGTTTGCAAGGAGCTGTAACGTATTACCTGTCATCACACAAAGCATCCCAAAGTTTCCTGAGCACCATGCGTAACGATCCGCGAGGCCGTGGGGGTTACCACTTGTGCCGAGTCGATGGGGGCAAAGCTCCGTTCACACCGTCACCCGTGTGAACGGGTGAGTACCCCGAGTGCACCCTGAGAAGACCTTTCACGCTCGGGCAGCCGACGGTCCATCAGCCGCCGCCGCGTCGCCGCCCGAGCCGTGTAAGCCCGCTCAGTCGGCTGCAGCCCCGACAGCGGGTGCCGTGCTCATACCGCGCGGCGACGTCGGTCGCCGCGCCGGCTGGTCATCGCCACGGACGGACGCGCGGCGGTGGGAATAGGCGGCCCCGGGGCCGGGCGCGCGCCGGGCGGCGCCCCCTCTCGCCCCCCGTGTACATAGCTGGCCGGCTGCCGGGGGCGGGCTGGCTGTGTGACTAACTACCGCCGTGTGCCACCAGCAGGGTCGGCGGCCGGGCGGCGGCGGCGGCGGCGGCGCTGGCGCCGGCGCCGCGGCCGGCCTCAGCCGCGCGCAGCGCTCAGACAGCGCCGGCTCGCTAGAGCTCATACTCACCCCGCTTGTTAACTCCACCACCCAGTGAGTAGAGCTCGGCACGGCACACCGACTCATCCACGGCCGCATGCGTGTAGTCAGGCTCCAGAATGTCAGGCTGGTGCGGGCTTCTAGTGACGGCTGTATGTCTGCGTGCGGTTACGTGCATATGCAAGTGCGCGCATGCCGTGCGCGCAAGGTGTGTTGCCATCGTTTTGTCACGCTACGAGTGTCTACGCTCGTAGATACTCATCAATTAACTTAGAAGTGGGCTAAAGAATTGATCAATAAATATACGTATTATGCATTATATATATACATGCATATATATATATATATATATATATATATATATATATATATATATATGTGTGTGTGTGTATATTTCTAAATTTAAACAAGCATGTTATGCATTCCGTTTTGCGAAAAGCACGCTGGATCTTTTAAGTGCCAAAATGCAAATGGCTGTCCTAAACGCGACTTTGTTGCTGGCTTTGCATGATCTCTAAATATGTTTTTCACAGTGGTAAAACACAGCATATCGACCTTTCTTAATAATGCACACGGCTGTTTTTCATCATTTAGTCTACTTACGTTAAGTTTAAAGGAACCCTGTGACGTCCCATTTATTGCACGCATCAAGCATGCCGCTGCTCGGCAAAGAAAACAGCGACTTTGACGTTACGATAGAAATGTGTCTACTGGTTGTAACACGTGGCATATCTCACCCATGAATCAGTTATGCCTTCATCCTGCTTGTCAAAGCTCAATTACTGTACGTGTGTGTATTAGTGTCGTTTGTCAGCACCTTCTCGCCCACTACCTTTCCCCGAATGTCATGACAGTATGGACCTCGGCTGACAGTCCTGTCCTATGATGACATTCGCCACGTACTTACTGGCTGCCCGAGACTGCATTCATTTGCTTAACCCAAACTATATTAGACGCGCCAAATGACAACTTAAGATACAATTTGCCTGAAGCGCTGCAATCCAAGCGATTGGACTTAAGTTGTATCTCAGAAAGAAAGGCTATCTTTCGAATATGTGCATACATTGTAATGTAAAAGACAGAAAGGGTGATAATCCTTCAACAAGAGACGTAAAGAACAGGGACGAAACATCAGCTGACGTTGCATGGCGGAGCAGACGCTACTGTGACGGGATCCGCCGCGGGAGTAGCGACGAGAGGGGAACAGCCACTGTCACGTCCACGGAAGGCGAAGGCGCGAGCGCGCCGTGTGACCATGGACGCTGTTCGCACTCCATCACCTTAATATCGACACCGCGATGTATATTCTGATCGATGGCTACCAGGCTCCATACCATTATGCAAATGCACACACCCGTAACTATTGGCATATGAGAAATGTGGGGGGCAGGGGGGGGGGACCGTGACTAGATTGCGACCGCGCCGGGCGTCGATACAGCCGGCTGTCCCGACACTATGACATTAGTGCGGGTCGTGGCACCAGCAAACCCGCTGTCCCGGGATCGTGGCACCAGTAAACCCGCTGTCCCGGGATCGTGGCACCAGTGGGCCTGCTGTCCCAGGATCGTGGCACCTGTGAGCCAACCGTCCCGGGATCATGGCACCAGTGTGTCAGCTGTCCCGGGATCGTGGCACCAGTGGGCCTGCTGTCCCGGGATCGTGGCACCAGTGGGCGTGCTGTCCCAGGATCGTGGCACCTGTGAGCCAACCGTCCCGGGATCATGGCACCAGTGTGTCAGCTGTCCCGGGATCATGGCACCAGTGTGTCAGCTGTCCTGGGATCATGGCGCCAGGGCACCCGCTGCCCCGAGATCATGGCACCAGCAACCTCAACTTCAACCAGGGATTTAAGTGTTCTGACCGCTACTAGTGCCGCTACACCGGCGTGGTCGGCGCGCTGCAGTGGGGATGGGCGCTCGGACATTGTACACCAGTTGATCAGTGGGCCGTGTTTCAGACAGTGTACCTGTCGTTCGGTGGCCGGTGCTAGCCTTCATGTCATACTGTTGCGTGTTGAGGCCGTTCATTTGTGCGACGTGCGTTTATGCTGTTGATCTGGAACGCTGGCCGTCGCGTGAGTCAACAATGTTTTTTATCAAAGGCATCTTCCACAGCGTAGTGTCACGCTGTCTTATGAAAATTTCGTCTAGTGTTTCAACTTCTGCCGCTGGAATGATGTCAAGCCGTTCAGCTTAAAAAAGTGAAGCTTGAAACACTGAACCATGTTGGTTCTGAAAAGTGAAAGTAAAATCTAAGTAGGGCATTACATATGGTAACAGATAAATGTGTAGCGTCTCATCACTTAGAATGTGAGATGTGCACATTTAAGGGCTCATAACCATGCACATACGTGGTAGGAACATTCCCCCCCCAAAGTAAATTACTTTTTTAGTTTGATAGCGTTTATACTGTTCGGAATCTGTTGTGTATAATGAACTTGGGAATACATACAATATATTATAACCTATGGTGACACCATGGCTAATTCGAGCCTTTTTACGCACATGGGTTTGTCACGAAAATATTGGGGAAACCCGAAAAGTCTGCCCAAAACAGAGTGGTACACAGCGAAACGCGTTTCATATTTACGTCATGAAAACGGTACCACACACATTGATGCGCAGCTATTCCTAAGAAGACGGTGATCTGGTTTAACTTCTGAAACAGTTATTACAATGACTAGGCTGCAAACGCGGATGTCCTCAGTCCAAGTGGCATTCTTAAGCTCTCCTTAATTATGAGCTTAAAGTTTAAAACCCAGGCTAAATTGACAATTGAGCTTCATAAAAACTGCTGAAAATGTCACCGCCAGGAAGGAACCAGCGTTGGTTGATGTGCTTATTGATTGTGAGAAAGCGGTGGTGTAAATAAGACTGGGTGGCAGAGAACGACCGGTTGTTACTTCCATTGATTTTCCAAACTAAGGAATTTAAAGTGAAGCCGGTGGTACGAATTGTTCGTTTAATATTGACCATTCATTACTGCTAGCGAAAAGGCTAATGCATCTATAGTACTAATGCAAGACTATGACGTTTCAAGTCATAATGGTAACACTGTGAGACATGACCATTTGTGCGATCGTCTATGTCATTTTACACGAATATTGTTGAGATTTCTTTCACTTCTTTACGTCTTGCAACGTAACAGAGTAATTGGTTCTATGAAAGTAGCTCCGGTGGTCAATTAAGCTCGCACACCGGGTGCCTCCCTTGAATAAGGCGCTCAGACTTCGTTGAGCTTAGACCCGAAGTTATTCAATATCTTACCGGCGTTAATTCGTGTTCGGCGTAGTGTAATTGAATTATGTTTGGCGGAGGCGGACTCGCCGACGGCCAACTTGCGCTGGACGGACCGGCGGATGGCGCGGCTCCGGGGCACCAGCCAGGGTGCGTCTCAAGTAAGCTGCCGCTGGACGGACCGGCGGATGGCGCGACTCTGGGGCACCAGCCAGGGTGCGTCTCAAGTAAGCTGCCGCTGGACGGACCGGCGGATGGCGCGGCTCCGGGGCACCAGCGAGGGTGTGTCTCAAGTAAGCTGCCGCTGGGCGGACCGGCGGATGGCGCGGCTCCGGGGCACCAGCGAGGGTGCGTCTCAAGTAAGCTGCCGCTGGACGGACCGGCGGATGGCACGACTCTAGGGCACCAGCGAGGGTGCGTCTCAAGTAAGCTGCCGCTGGGCGGACCGGCGGATGGCGCGGCTCCGGGGCACCAGCGAGGGTGCGTCTCAAGTAAGCTGCCGCTGGGCGGACCGGCGGATGGCGCGGCTCCGGGGCACCAGCGAGGGTGCGTCTCAAGTAAGCTGCCGCTGGACGGACCGGCGGATGGCACGACTCTGGGGCACCAGCCAGGGTGCGTCTCAAGTAAGCTGCCGCTGGACGGAGCGGCGGATGGCGCGACTCTAGGGCACCAGCCAGGGTGCGTCTCAAGTAAGCTGCGGCTGGGCGGACCGGCGGATGGCGCGACTCTAGGGCACCAGCCAGGGTGCGTCTCAACTAACCTCCCGCTGGACGGACCGGCGGATGGCGCGACTCTGGGGCACCAGTCAGGGTGCGTCTCAGGTAAGCTGCCGCTGGACGGACCGGCGGATGGCGCGACTCTGGGGCACCGGTCAGGGTGCGTCTCAAGTAAGCTGCCGCTGGACGGACCGGCGGATGGCACGACCCTAGGGCACCAGCCAGGGTGCGTCTCAACTAACCTCCCGCTGGACGGACCGGCGGTGGCGCGACTCTGGAACACCAGCCAGGGTGCGTCTCAAGTAAGCTGCCGCTGGGCGGACCGGCGGTGGCGCGGCTCCGGGGCACCAGCCAGGGTGCGTCTCAAGTAAGCTGCCGCTGGACGGACCGGCGGATGGCGCGACTCTGGGGCACCAGTCAGGGTGCGTCTCAAGTAAGCTGCCGCTGGACGGACCGGCGGATGGCGCGGCTCCGGGGCACCAGCCAGGGTGTGTCTCAAGTAAGCTGCCGCTGGGCGGACCGGCGGATGGCGCGGCTCCGGGGCACCAGTCAGGGTGCGTCTCAAGTAAGCTGCCGCTGGACGGACCGGCGGATGGCGCGGCTCCGGGGCACCAGCCAGGGTGTGTCTCAAGTAAGCTGCCGCTGGACGGACCGGCGGATGGCGCGACTCTGGGGCACCAGTCAGGGTGCGTCTCAAGTAAGCTGCCGCTGGACGGACCGGCGGATGGCGCGGCTCCGGGGCACCAGCCAGGGTGTGTTTCAAGTAAGCTGCCGCTGGGCGGACCGGCGGATGGCGCGGCTCCGGGGCACCAGCGAGGGTGCGTCTCAAGTAAGCTGCCGCTGGACGGACCGGCGGATGGCACGACTCTAGGGCACCAGCCAGGGTGCGTCTCAAGTAAGCTGCCGCTGGACGGACCGGCGGTGGCGCGGCTCCGGGGCACCAGCCAGGGTGCGTCTCAAGTAAGCTGCCGCTGGACGGACCGGCGGATGGCACGACTCTAGGGCACCAGCCAGGGTGCGTCTCAAGTAAGCTGCCGCTGGACGGACCGACGGATGGCGCGACTCTAGGGCACCAGCCAGGGTGCGTCTCAAGTAAGCTGCCGCTGGACGGAGCGGCGGATGGCGCGACTCTAGGGCACCAGCCAGGGTGCGTCTCAAGTAAGCTGCCGCTGGACGGACCGGCGGATGGCGCGACTCTAGGGCACCAGCCAGGGTGCGTCTCAAGTAAGCTGCCGCTGGACGGACCGGCGGATGGCGCGGCTCCGGGGCACCAGCCAGGGTGTGTCTCAAGTAACCTCCCGCTGGACGGACCGGCGGATGGCGCGACTCTAGGGCACCAGCCAGGGTGCGTCTCAAGTAAGCTGCCGCTGGACGGACCGGCGGATGGCACGACTCTGGGGCACCAGCCAGGGTGCGTCTCAAGTAAGCTGCGGCCCAGCTGATCGCGGCCGCGGCGATATTCCGGTGTGCCCAGAGTGGCAAGTTCTGGGGCCTATAAGCCAAAGGACCATCCCATGAGAAAGCATCAAAGCTGAACAAATTGCTGAGGATGTGATGCCTCTTGCACGTGTGACTAGAAAATGAAATGTGTGTCGTGATGTAGACACACAATAACAATCGAGATTGATATAATGAGATATTTAAATTGATACGGTTCAGCGGATTTTCGGCAGCCTGTAGTACGGTGGAAAATGCAAATGAAGTTATGAAATAGCAATTTGCACATACTTCGGCAACGGAAAGTTGCTTAAAGCCAAGGCCATCTGGCTCGGTAAAATAGCAAGACGATATGCTTAGATGTTCCTAGCCAGAATGCCGTCTAAACTAGCAATGAGCTGTTGATATGAATGGTAATGTTATCGGCACTCGACAGTAGCTCCTGTCTGTATGATGGTTGTTAGAATTTGTTTTTGGGGGTCGAAAATAGCAGAGCTGATTTATCATTGATAACCAGTCGATTTGGGTGAAAAGGGCCAAATATTGTGACAATTGGAGGAACAGTACGTGGGGATTTCGTTGCGATGGAAACAGTAGATCCTATAATAATGTAATATTGCAACAATATTACAGGAATAAAACGTATACTAGTCGCTTTGCTGTGCCGGAATGCTACCAACGCGCATGCAGTGAGCGCATTGGGTCGCATGGTAATGCTGTTGTGTTTGATATGACGGGACAAGGTCCCTGTGTAGCTGCAGCTTGTACCGTCTAATTGGGCTGTGAAAAGGGACGCTCCTGAGATTTACCACCAGTCCAAGTCAGTCGCTCTCCAAACACTCACAACACGTGCAACCGACCACTGGCTAACCCGTAATCACAGCGGTTCGTTCCCAGCTATTGTGGCACCGTTCCTAACCCTGCCGACCCTTACCCTTATAACCCTGTGACACTGCTCCTGGACCTGCTGCTCTCGCACAGATGTTGCGACGCTCTTCCTGACGTTGCCGCTCATTGCTGCCGTTGCAACACTGTTCCTGACCCTTGTCACTCTCCCGCTGATGTGACGCTGTTCATGACCCTGCTTGTCCTCACCGTTGTTGTGGCGCTGTTACAGGCCGTGCCGTCGGTAGCCGCCGGTCATCGCTCCGATGTGCACCTGCCTCAGAGGTTACACGAGATAGCCACGCCACTCTGAGAGCCCACCTCCTGCTGTTGGCGAGACCAGACCGGCGGGGGGCCGCACGTAACGCAACCTAAGGCCAGCTGACAGCAACGGGGCGGGGCGTGACCTGACCCCAGCTGACAGCGGCGGGGCGGGGCGTGACCTGACCCCAGCTGACAGCAGAGGGGCGGGGCGTGACCTGACCCCAGCTGACAGCAGCGGGGCGGGGCGTGACCTGACCGCAGCTGACAGCAACGAGGCGGGGCGTGACCTGACCGCAGCTGGCAGCAGCGGGGCGGGGCGTGACCTGACCCCAGCTGACAGCAGCGGGGCGGGGAGTGACCTGACCGCAGCTGGCAGCAGCGGGGTGGGTCGTGACCTGACCCCAGCTGACAGCAGCGGGGCGGGGCGTGACCTGACCCCAGCTGACAGCAGCGGGGCGGGGCGTGACCTGACCCCAGCTGACAGCAACGGGGCGGGGTGTGACCTGACCGCAGCTGGCAGCAGCGGGGCGGGGCGTGACCTGACCGCAGCTGGCAGCCGTACGGCGGGGCGTGACCTGACCCCAGTTGACAGCAGCAGGGGCGGGGCGTGACCTGACCCCAGCTGACAGCAGAGGGGCGGGGCGTGACCTGACCGCAGCTGGCAGCAACGAGGCGGGGCGTGACCTGACCCCAGCTGACAGCAGCGGGGCGGGGCGTGACCTGACCCCAGCTGACAGCAGCGGGGCGGGGCGTGACCTGACCCCAGCTGACAGCAACGGGGCGGGGCGTGACCTGACCCCAGCTGACAGCGGCGGGGAGGGGTGACCTGACCCCAGCTGACAGCAGCGGGGCGGAGCGTGACCTGACCCCAGCTGACAGCAGCAGGGGCGGGGCGTGACCTGACCCCAGCTGACAGCAACGGGGCGGGGCGTGACCTGACCCCAGCTGACAGCAACGGGGCGGGGCGTGACCTGACCCCAGCTGACAGCAGCGGGGCGGGGCGTGACCTGACCGCAGCTGGCAGCCGTACGGCGGGGCGTGACCTGACCCCAGCTGACAGCAGCAGGGAGGGGCGTGATCCGACCGCAGCTGGCAACAGCAGGACGGGACGCGCCGAGTATCGCACCCTCGACTTCACGGACCGGCCGCATTGGTGGACTTAAGCCGAGTACTGCTGATCATGCAGAGCGATGTGATCGTGGAATGTGCCACAGACGTGGGCCAATGCGCCAAGTATTCACAACCGCCGACATAAGGTTTGCAAGTGCATGCACAAGGCAGGTTGACTGCTGCCTATTTGTTTCACCGGACCTGATGATACAGTGCGTGTTATTCGAACGAGCAAATCAATGCTCAGACTCGTATTGCTTGTTGCTGGTTTTCCGTTTGTCCGGTGCGAAATGTGCGTGTGGTTTTTGTGAGCCACCACATCTATTGAATATGTATTAATTATACTGCCAATTTTGCGAGTGACCTTCAAATGGCTTTTTGTAATTTATGCCGTCCCAGCTGTTGCATGATATGCTTCCCCAAGTGAACCGATTCGGAAATAAAAAATGATGTGTTCAAGTCCCTGGTGTTCCATGGTGTCATAGAATCAGGAATCATTTGGGAATAGTAATTTCAAACGCGCTGTTGATTCAAACAAGATGGGTTTTTGCCAGACAGCTAATGCGTTTTTATCTTTGTGAATGTCGAGGTGCAAACCTTCAAACCGAATGCGCATGCGTCAATATCAATGATATGGCATCTTTTCGCTGATTTGCTACTTGAAAGCTATTAAGGTGTAGTGAATGTACGTAAATTATAGATGCGTCATTCTCAAAGGCTGGCTTGTAACATGTGATTGCAGCAGGAAAAACATTTTCAATTAACTTTTGTGGACAAAGAAACTTTACGAGAACATTCACTGGCATTGTTTTGAGATATTTGCTAGATGACTCCAGAAAAATTGTTAAACTGAAGCTGACCCTGTAGATAACCTTTTACACATTGCAGCACTCTCCCCCATATCCCACCTCATCTATGTGGCATTCACATCGCTTACTCGACTTGGCAAAGGTACGCATTGACTCAAGATTTCTGCGGTGTTATGGCTTTTCCAAGGCGGCAATCTGGTGCTCCGATCTAGACTGGTCGAGCAGCGCATCAAAACCCAATAGCATGCCACAACCTATATCATCCGAGGTCTGGCCGGCGAGTCACTGCTCTTATTCAACCTATCAAGAGGTCACCCGGTCAGTGGCGTCTCAACCGACCAGATCCCATGTCACAGAATGGTGATAGCCTGCCGTATACATCGCCTGAGTTAAAGCCTGACAAGAAGTCATCTACGGACTCGGTCGCCGTCCATGCGTACTCGACGTGTGTATCGCGCAGGCGTGGTATTCACTTGGTGTGAATCACAAGCGTCGGGGTGGAATTATTGTGTGGTGCTCGTCGACTCATGAGTGAGAAAGCGGCGAGACGCCCAAATGAGTCGCAGACGAACTTGAATGGGAACAGGATATGAACAAATTGACGAATGGATGAAAATTTGGATCTTATTTGAGCTTAACTGTTGAATGGTTAGTCGCTCGGTGTAATCCAACCAGCGGCACGGCCCTACGCGGAAGCGTATGATCATTGGGCCGGTATGCCAATCGGCAAAGTTATTTACAACCGCCGGGTGATGAGCGATGGGTGTTTTCGTTCCGTTGCGCTCCGTTTGAGCCATCTGATGTCGACGACTGCACGCGCAACCATGCTGAACTGACGCCGTCACAAGTCGCCAACTCGGTCGTAAAAACATCACCGCGCTCGCGTTTGCCAGCCATCGACGTTCTGACGTCGACCAGTCGTCTGTTTTCGCAACACCAGCCTCCATTGGCGCGAGGGATTTCAGCCCCCTCAATCCCCAAGGCAACCCCGCTGTTGGCCTGTCATTTCCAGTCGGGAAACCCATTTGACAACCGGGCTGGCGCCATGGTGCACGAGCTGCAGTGGGGATTCTGCTGTTTTTGTCGCAGTATAGTTGGCCGCGTGACAGAGACGGTCTGCACCATGGCTCTTTGAAAGCGGCCGGCATGTGTGCATGATGTGCATGCAATACGCAATATAAATGTGAAAGCACCGTTCGAAAGATGAGCATTTAGTGACAAGAAATAATTTATTTCAATTAAAGTGAATCGATCAAAATACGTTTGATGTCAGAATTAGCGAGGGATCTGATGTTAGACCTTGTTTTGGCCGAAACTAAACATCATTGAATTTGCCCGGGTTTGATGCAGTGGCGCTGCAAATTATACCGTCATGTTTCAAATTCAATATACGGCCCAGTCTGCGTGATGATGGTTTGTTAAGACTAGGCCAATCCTGATATATCAACTAGAGTAACATTCATGTAATTGTATCAGTTCACCTAGCCACATCTTAAAAGCCAGCTGAAACCTTAGTTCTTAACTACGTCAGCAACCAAAACCCAGGAAGCAATACTGTACGGGCAGCACTGAGATGCACTAAACGATGTTAGGAAAGCCGTGGCACTGGATTAGGGGTTTACGAGCCTCGGGTGTGAGATGGCGCCGACTTAGGCGCGGGTACACAAGGATGGAGCTGAGCTTGTTTGTGATATTGGAGATTTTCTCCTCCCGTGATAATGACCGGTCGATGATAGCAACGGGCATCGTTTCAGACGGATAATGTGTTAGTGTGCATTCGTCAATCATGCGCCGCTTTACCTGCTGGGATATTCGAAAGTGTATTCCAGATAGTGGTCACCAAATCCTTTCAAGAAACATCACGTCAGTGATTAGGACCGGAAAGCCCAACCATAATGTAATACCAAAATGGTGTGGAACCGCGCCTGGTCGTCTTAACGAGGGCACTGGGTGAGGCGCTAGTGCTCCTTTGCTGACTACCTCGCGTTGAGACCTGCGCCTTCAAGCTTGTAACACTCACATACGCGGAACCACGTATGATCATTTTTGGAATGACCGGTCGATTCGTCATTTTCCTGAATGTTGTTCCCTCTGGTTCTTTCGTAAATCATAGACCTGGTTCCTGGTTCCTGGTTTCTGGTTCTTATTGTTGTTTTTTTTCGAAAGCACTGGACCTTGAGCACTGGTTGTCATGTATTTTTTTTACTACAAGACCCAGACTCATGATTCTTTGCGACAAAGTCATGCAAGTCACAGAGGATAACCCACATGTTTTTGCTTTTACATTTTTTACACGTCATACACCACAGGATTATACATATATTTCTCCTCGTGCACCACAAAAAGGTCACACATCACAGGAAAGTAAAACAATCAATATGCCCTGATACACCACTGCAGCTAACAGGCTTAACTGCTGGTTGAAGACCATTGCCCACGCCGTAGAAGTGACTGCTTGCTTAACAGCTGAAAATATGACCTCAATGACCCATATATTTGCATTAAAAAACAGCTAAACCTCACAAACCACAGACATAGCAGCGAGCGCACCACGCTTGAAAATATAATACGGGAGAACCAACATATTTCTGCTTTCACGCCACATTAAAGTCATACGCTGCAGGTAAGTTCAGCAGCCTGCCGTCATGCCACCATTACAACGAATCAAGCTTTACTGTTGGTTGAAGACGGTTGCCCACAACTTAGAAGTGAATGCCTGAGAGCTGGAACTATCACCTGGATGACCCACACATTTTCAAAAGGCTACAGTTAAGGTCACATACCACAGACATATCAATTGTCACGATACCACGAATTCAGCTAATAAGGCTTTATTTTTAGAACTTCAGCCACCAGCTATCAGGGTCTCCCAAAATGCTATCAAATTAACAATTTCCAGAGCTGCAGCAGTCTCTCTTTGTAGAAATTTGCATTCTCCTCTAACAGGGGTGTGACGAACGGGGTGACCAAAAGTGGTTGAGACCCATAACTTGAAGAATTCCATTTTCGACCTTTTAAGAAGGGATCAATGCAGACTATGTATTTTCTGAAAAGAAACAGAAGATATAAATACTGGGGCCCTGCTGCCTGATCAAATTTGCAAGCTTGTAAATTCCTATCAAATGGCGCC